CCCCTTTGGGTTGAATGGTGGCTACTGCAGGTGAATTTTCCTATTGGTTACAGTGGTACGTCACACAGCCTCCCGTTTTTGGGGATTTGAACCCTTGACCTTCTTACTGGAAGGTAGCAGCGCCTTTAAATATGACTGGATTTAAAGAGAAAAGATGAAACCAAGAAATTTGTTTGATATTGGGAGTTTAAAAATGTCTCACCGTGTTTTGGGCCTGGACGATAAATAGATATTGTCTAAAACACATAACATGGTAGTTGGGTGTTTTAATGCAGACCTTTCCTGTCTTTCTGCAGCTTTCACTCCACACCGTTATCTTTTCATTTTTTAAGCGGTTATGATGAAAAAAATTAAACTGCTGCTGCGCAAGTGACTGAACAGGTTGTTGCCAGGCAACCAAATAATGAGTTGCTAGGTAACCAAAGAGGGAGGGAGTCAGTTGATTCCACCAACATGGCGGAAGGCTGCGAGAAGGCCTTTTCTCTGCCTTCATTTCTGCAGAGCATAAATATAAAATCAATGTATTCAATATTTAATACATAGTTATTGATTTATTTTCCAACTCCACTGAGTTTTGAGAAGTTATTGCAGTAAGCGATAATATTGGTGTTTTGAGACAATTTTCAATCGTAATATAATGCGAGAACTCATTAAGATTAATGAACTAACACACACTTAATGCTGCAACTGGAAGACATTTCAAAATTAATATTTTATCAATGTTTCTTTTTCTCCTTTTGTCTCTTTAGGCTTTTGTCAGGTTTTACCCAGAGGTGTTTCTGGTTATTGATGTCGTGGATTGAAAATGTTTGACCATAAAAGGAGCAGAGAGAAATCTGTAAACAATATGCAGCAGATTTTCCAGTAATTTCACCTAAAACTGTCTGTGGACGCAAACTTTAATCAACAAACGGTGGCAGTTTTTCTGAAGAACTGCACACTAAACTGTTTAGAACGATCAACTGAGTGGAAAAGTAAACAATAACAGAGTGCATAACAAAACCTCGGCTGTTACATAAGAGGAAGAAACTCCCGTTTCTTTCGCTCAGAGGAACAGTTTGAACTGATTGAAAGCAAATGTCTGCCTTCGTTTCACAATGGGAGGAACATTTCACAGGAACTCACTGGGCTCCAGCGCAGCACAGATAACCAAAACAAATGTCTCCAGAAGAGACGACGAGTGCTCCTTCGCTCACGACGCTCCTCCGTTTATGTTTGAATCCACCAAAACATTGGAAACTGGACGGCTGTAAATCCCAGGCGTCCCCTGAGGCTGGCTTGTCGGACAGATTTTTGATCGTTTGCTGCTGCAGGGTAAAGAGGAACAGGCAAATCAAATATCCACTGGAATGTGCGTGTGCTCACAGGTTGGAGATAAAACAGTGCAAACACCTCGTTGAATGAACGACAACATGGCAGATTTCAGGCGTCCAGGTTCAGGAGAGGGTTAGAGACACTGGAAACAAAATATGAGAAGATTAAAAACAGAATTTTGAGACAAAGTTTGGATTTTGAGGGAAAAAAAATCATAATTTCAAGGACACGGTCAGAATTCTCAGAAAAAAGTCAAAACTTTGAGAAAAAACCCCAAAGAATTTTGAAATTAAAATCCTTGTAAATGCAACGCATTTGGCTAATTAAATCGACTCTCGTCCACTAATGCTTATTTGGTCTGATGTCAAAACGTCACAATAAATGTGGGTAAGCATGAGAGCAGTGTCTTTAGGGAGGCGTGTGTGTGTGTGTGTGTGTGTGTGTGCACGTGCGTGTGTGTGTGTGTGTGTGTGTGTGTGTGTGTGTGTGTGTGTGTGTGTGTGTGTGTGTGTGTGTGTGTGTGCGCGTGTGTGTGCGTGTGTGTGACTCAACAACAAACACACACACGGTGCAGATGTAGCCCGGGGGTCTGCAGCCCGATGCCAGGCTGACATTTCCTGCAGTGTGAATCAGATTCTGCTCTCCTCTCTGTAACGAGCTTCCAGTGTTAGCAGAATTAGCTCTGCTAATTAAATGTGTGTTTTTTCTGTGTGACGCTCACAGATTAACGCTGTATGGAAAACTGATGGAATCTGCTTATGAGGACTTTTTCAGTTTCTTCTTCTGGACTCTAAGTGACTCATTTGTTCCCAGATTGCGATGTGCGTGAATCACAGCAGAGACGTGGTGAAGAAGTGGAGCTTTCAGCCTTTCAGGTGTCAAATCTCAGGGGTAAAAATGTCTGACAGTTCAAGTTTGTGTCAAGGCTGATAAAATGTTGCTCAAGGTCCTTAAACTCCACTTCTTCCTTTTATGTATTTTAAAATACTCCAAGTATTAAATGACACATTAGAGGTTCCACTCGTTTTCTTTTTTACCAATTTTACTTTCATTCGTAAACATTTTAGTCTTTATAACTTAACAAATAGCTGAACTTATTATATCTTAGCAATGTTTCTACAGTATTGTCTCCATTTAGTCATTTATATTTTGCTCATTAATCAGCTTTCCTGCATTTCCATATAAAATGATGAGTGAAATAGTAATTTTTGATAAATATCCACAAATGGAAATTTATTTATTCACAACCATCTTTCTTTAACCATTTTTAGGTTTTCAAATAGAGAAAATCATCGATATAATATCACAAAATATATATTTTTAAAAAGCACAAAGTTTCCAGTCTAATTATAAGAAGGAAAGTGGATTTAAAAACATTTCAGGTACTTTTTGGTAGGTGTGCTTCGATCGCTGATCTTTAAAAACTGATAAAAAATAATTTTTGATTTGTTTTGTCTGAAATCTGAAATTTAGTTGCTAAATATAGTAAGAAAGGAACGGGGCTGGGCGAACAGTCAAACATCTCTGACAGCAGAGCAAAAATGAACGGTGGTTGATTTTTAGACCTTTACTGATGTGAATAAAATCTGCTTCATATGTGAGTATCGGCGCCGATAAATATCCCAAACTATAGTCACCCCAGATTAGAGACTTTGTTTCTATATTTAGCAAAAATTATCAGCCAAATTCAGACTCTACAGGTTGAGTTTTGTTTTTTTAAAAGAAAAGTGCAATTAGTAAATAAAACGAAACCCCAGGGTTTATTTTTTAATGGATTTCTCAGAACAAAGATTTTGCGAAGGGAAACTGCAATGGAAACAGAGCTGCATGTCAGTGCAGTGACGTTCTCTTCTACTGATATTAATAATACATGCAATATGGATATTTCTTTACATTTCTTTTCCTTTATTTTTACAGAACAGTGATGTAGACCGTGTTTCAGCCTGCTGACTGGCAGGACACAGGAAGAACTGAGCTAATTTGGTGTTGATCTATTAGAGAATAAATCAAAATTTCCACAAAATTGATCAAGTTATCAAAGTGCTGTTTCCGTCTGTGCCAACTATAAAAACTGAATCTATTGCTAAGCCTGTCGCGATTACAAAATGATAAATTGTCCCAGAAATTATTGCGATGAACTAAATCAATATTGTTGTTGTCAGACCGTTTGCAAGCATTGTAATGGTAATAATGGCATAATAATGCAAAAATACACTGTGAGATATAGAAAAATTAGAGTGAAATTAAATCATCATGATAAACTCCTGTTGTGAGCAAATTAATTAACTAACTTAACTAAAAGTGAAAATAATCAGAGTGATTGAAACAGAGATGAATAAAAACTTCACCACCATCTTCATCCGATTGTTGCGAACAGATTCCAGTTTTCATCTCCATTTTTGTCCCTGCGGACGGAGAGACCAGGAACCTGGAGACGCAGCCAATAACTACAGCATGAGCTCATAGTCTATTACTTATTCATAGGCCCGTACACAGGCTGATGCAATCGCCGCCTTGCAGCGAACAGGAGGCGAACGAGCCGGAGAGATGCTCCAGACGTGAGCAAGACGGCTAAAACAAACCCAGAATAAACCTCAAGGCTCACCGCTGTGATTCAGAGTGAAACTCTGAGCATGAGCTAACTGTTGCTTAACGTCTTAGTCAAATCTCCTTTTTCTGTTTTTCTTCTTTCCTTTTTTGAACAAAAAATGTGCAGGACTTTAAAGAGGCAGACGGAGGGTTTTTATTTCACAGTTCAGACTTGATGGGGTCGCTTTGTTTGCCCGGGATCAGTAATCAGTCAGCGTTTTGTTCAGCCGGTTTCTGATGCAGGTAGCAAACAGAATTATATCTTCTGCTTTTGATTCAGTTTCAATAATTCAGTGTTTAAAAATACTTTATTGATCCTAATTTTCTTGATCTTACAAAGACTCCTTAACATGACAGAAAGAAAGAGATCGCCAGTACAAGCGGCCGAAATGGGTTTCCTCTGTAGGGTGGCTGGGCTCTCCTCTAGAAATGGGGAGGGACTCAGAGTAGAGCTGCTGCTCCTCCACATCGAGAGGAGCCAGTTGAGGCTCAGGCATCTGGTCAGGATGCCTCCTGGACGCCTCCCTGGTGAGGCATTCTGGGACGTGCCCGGGGAAGACCAGGACAGGCTGGAGGGACTACGTCTCCAGGCTGGCCTGGGAACGCCTCGGATTCCCCGGGAGGAGCTGGAATTGGTGGTCGGGGAGAGGGAAGCCTGGGCCTCTCTTCTGAAGCTGCTACCCCCGCGACCCGACCCCAGATAAATGGAAGAAAATGGATGGATGGATAATAAGTGATCGCTGTAGTAGATTAGCTACCGCTGCTTTTAGCTATGCTAACACAGTGGTGGTTGATTAGTTCCACCACATCCACATGTTAAGGTTGTCATATCAGATTCTTGTATTTTGTATAAATGTTTTTAACAATATAAATGTATCTTGAACCTTAATAAGAAACCATTCGGCTGCATATTCACACTTGCAAACATGTATGTTTAATTCTGTTCATTAATTAAAAATAGATGCATAAAAATGCTTTCTAAAATGTGATTTCTTAAACATCACATAAATTTGGTTGTTTTCTACGACGTGTTTATTTTTTCTTTTGTTCTTTCTTTCAATTTTCTGTCCTTTTTTTGTTGTTGTTTTTAATTTCAGGACCAGTTTGAGAATCTGGACAAACACACTCAGTGGGGGATTGACTTCCTTGAGCGCTATGCAAAGTTTGTTAAGGAGAGGCTGGACGTAGAGCAGAACTATGCCAAGCAGCTACGGTACGTTCACACGCACACAAATATAACCATATTGATATGAAACGTTATGTAAATATTTGTATTACTGTTATCAGATTCAAAAATACATTTTACCTGTATGTCCTGCAATCATGACTGTAACTAGCCATTTTTCGCTCTAACAATGCTTAAAAAGTCCAAGGCTATCACATTTCACTGATTTCATTTTAAGAAAAATACTGAGACAGTAGCTGCGTTTCTGGACATGTAGGTGTTATTAATTTAGCGCAAAAGTGAAAAATAACGCTGAAAAACCGTTGAAGCATAACTCAAAACCACTCGTTGCCATAGCAACCACCAACGAATCAGAATTCAGCACCAGAAAACACTCAGACATTTCTCACACAAAGAACAAAACGTTCAGTTTCATGTTTTCAGGTTTGACCTTTATTTTACAGTTAGTGATTGCTGCGGTAGATCAGCTACCGCTGCTATTAGCTAATCTACCACAGCGCTGGTTGCTTAGCTAATTTGCTTAGCTAATTTAAACACCTGCTCTCTCCTGATGATCAATCAGAGTTGGTGTTTTTTTATCTATTTATTTATTGTTTTTTAGCTGAACCAAAACACAGAATTCCACAGCACGTCAACATGTTAAGGTTGTCATAGTCAAGCTAGCATAGCTGACCTGTTACCCTCTCATGTGCAACTTTTTGATTAAAGTTGTTTCCTGACTTTATGTAGTTGTCATTATGTTGGCAATTTGTAGCAAAGCACTGTGTCCCTTTTTATATGAATATTTATCGCATTAGTTCAACAACTTAACAGTTAAAACCAATGCTAGTCATTGTTAGCGGGCGTCTTCTTTTGCCCTACAGCAGGAAGCTGGGGGTGGGATTTTGCATGTGAGACGTCATGCTTCAGTGTGTCGACATATTGATGTTGAGAATATTGAAATACAGAATGAAAATGCCTGTTTATCTTTCTTTGTTGCCAAACTGGTAGAAACCAGCAGACCGCTTTAAGAATCAACAGGGAACTACAGGATGTGTCTCTGTCTCAGTCCGTTTCTAGACTGAGACAGAGTTGCTTTTTTCTTTTTTACCGATAACAGCTCTCACACTCATGCATCTGCAGCTCTGCATAAACATGTGGCATAACACACCTTCAGCCATGCGCCGGTTAATTCATTCAAACTCCATTTCCAGCGAAGACTTTGATCTTTGATTCATCTCTAATACTTGGATCCTTTCTTGCTGAATTTGGATGTCTCTCCTCTCGTTTGTGTGTGTGTGTGTGTGTGTGTGTGTGTGTGTGTGTGTGTGTGTGTGTGTGTGTGTGTGTGTGTGTGTGTGTGTGTGTGTATGTGTGTGTGTGTGTGTGTGTGTGTGTGTGTGTATGTGTGTGTCAGTCTGACTTTAAGCATTTTTGTACTTGCAGGATTAAAATTTCAGACAGTGCCTCAAGCTTTTATGTTTCCCTCTTTGCCTTGTAGGAATCTGGTGAAGAAATACTGTCCAAAACGTTCAAAAGATGAAGAGCCAAGGTGAGGACATCGTTTTACTTTTAATCCTTTACTCTTTCGGATGCCTGTGGACTGGAGCAACGGAAAACCCTACTGGAATCTTGATGAATAATTTCTGACTGGTCATTTAGAAAATAGTGTTTGATGTGGCTGCTCACATCCCGTCTGTGAAATTACCAAACAATGCAATTCGTCACATAAACAGCAGGAATGTAGGAGGGTTTGTGGAGGTCAGGGGAGATCTTTCTGTCCCCTTCAACCACATGAAGCTTCTACAGTCTTATTATTACTGCTTCCTTAGAGGTGGGAAAGACTCACAAATTACATTTTTATGAGGAAAAAACTTCTTGTTTTATTTGTTTGGAGGTTTTCGTTTTTCCCAACAAAGAGCCGCTTTGCCACTTTTTTTGAAATTAGATCATGGAAATTATCTTTGGTTCAATGTGGAGAAACGTTTTCCTCTTCTTTTAACACATTATGAATAAAAGTTCATTATTAATGAAGGTTTGAATGAGCAGGAAATGAGGATTATTGAACAGAAAAACTAATTTTTAATATTTTGAAAATATTTCAAAATAAGACAAACCAGAGATTGGTCAATTGAGATTTTTATGGCTGATTTTCTACATAAAAGTGAAAAATCTGCCATTGGAACTGGTGCTTTTTTTTATCCATCTTCAAGATTTATTGACTGAAAAGAAGTTTATTACATTCTCAGAAGTTACTTTTATGTGTTTTTGTCTAGTTTCTAGTGAAAATATTTTATTATACAAGAATTAAGATAAAAAGTAACTTCTCAGCAGGATAAATTAGATTGTTCTCAGTCAACAATTCCTGAATAAAGATACACAGATCTGGTTCCTCTGGCATATTTGTCTCACTTAAAACAGTAAAAATGTCTCATAAGTGGAAAGAATCAGCCAGTGGAACTTGTACTTTTAATAATATATATTCAAGAATTGTTGTTGTGAAAACAAGCTTGTTTATCTTGTGAAGTGACGTAAAGTTATTTTGTCTTTGAAGTAAAGCAAAGCTGTTTACACTAAAACTAGACAAAAATATTTAGTAATATTTTGTGTTTTTGCAGAGCTTTATAAGATGAACTTTATGGAATCCACCAGTTTTGTTGCTTTATAATTTTTCCAGAGAAAAAGTTGTTACTGAAATAAACTCAGAGTAGTTTTTGAAAGCTTTTTATGTCTAGTTTCTAGTGCAAATATTTTAGTACTCTTTCTTGAAAACAAAATATATGTTGTAGTAACTTTTCAGCAAGATAACAAACATTCTGCCAGAATTAGCATTTAAAAAATAATTTTATTCAAGAATTGTTGTAAAATAAGTTCCTTTTAAATCAATAATTCTTGAATAAAAATACAGACAGTTGCAGCTAGTATTTAAACATATATATTAAAGAATTATTTACCTAAAACTGGCTTATTTATCTTGCTGAGAAGTTACTTTAAAATGCTAAGACATTTTCATTAGAAATTGGACAAAATACTTGATAAAATTCTGTATTTTTGCGGTTCTGTCTCAGCAGGAATCTGTTGCAGTAAACTCTGATTTTTATACATTAATGTTTTATTTAACGACAGGTTCACGTCGTGTCTGTCGTTCTACTCCATTCTGGGCGAGCTCAACGACTACGCCGGCCAGAGGGAGGTGGTGGCGGAGGAAATGTCCCACAAGGTTTACAACGAGCTGATGAGGTACAGCCAGGAGCTGAAAGCCGAGCGGAAACACGTGAGTGCTGTCACGGCGCCGAACGTCTCCGTCCTGAAAGCAGATGTTTCGCTCCGCTCCTCTGTGTCGCTTGTGTTTTCTGAGGAATGATCTGTTGCATGTGATGTTATCCGTCTGTCGTCTTGTTTCTACCATCTGCTGCTGGAAAAATGAAAATGTTGATGTGTTTTTGGAGAATAGTGGCCTTTAGATGTTTCTCAGCCATAATTTATCTAATTTTATCTCATATTGAAGTCTGGTGTTCATTGGTTAGATGTTTTATATGTGTATTAGACTTGAGGTTTCGTGATGAAGCAAAGTATAAAACTTTTGATTTCTAAATGAAACTGAACTGAATTAAAAAAACATCAGTATTGATTTATTAAACCATATAATCAATTTTATTAGTAGCTCTGTCACAATAACAATTTTTCCTGGACAATAAATTGTCCCAGAAGTTATCGTTAAAAATTATAATATTGTTGTTTTGAGACCATTTTCAAGTGATATAATGATAATAATTATATTACCACATTTTGGAATAAAACATGTGTTTGCTTCCTAATGTTTTCTATATTAATATTTTAATTGTTCCTAAGTCTTTTAAGTTTTAAGTCAAAAAGTCTGTTTTATTCCTTAAGTTCCTAGTAGCTCTAATTGGCATCATACCTAAAGTTACACTAATGTAGGTGCAAAATATACATTTATAATCTCTAAGTCGTTTCACATCTTACAAAAAAATGTTATTTTTGTGGCATGAAGATGTTAAATATGTTAGAAAATTTAAAACCTGATCAAATGGGAGTTAGTTTCTGCTGAAATAACAAAACTTGCTCTTTCCTGTGGCTTTGTCATGTCCAATATTTCTGTGGTCTGCTTATTTACGTGTTTCTTGTTTCTGTGTGGAAATGAGCAGCACCTACAGGAAGGAAGGAAGGCTCAGCAGTCTTTGGATCACTGCTGGAAACAGATGGACAACGTAAGTTTGGGGGTTGGGGAGAGAAAACGTGTTTATGGTAAACACTTTCTGTCAGGGACCAGCAACTGCTTCTCACACACTAACCAGGAAGGAATGAAAGAAATGCTAACAGTTAGCTGAGGGATAAACTGAGGCCCTGTTGACCTTTTTTACTCATTTTGGACAGGAAACAAACACATTTCTTCCACTTAAATCTGTTTTTAAGAATCTAGCTTTGTGCTAAACAATACCAACTGTAGCTTGAAATATTTTTTATCATATTCCAAAATTGTGGCATCATTTTTGTTCCCTTCTTTTCAATGACAGTTTCTAGGACATCAGTGCAGATCTGCAGCTCTTAAAGCAAAACTGTATTACTGCACTGCAAAAACACAAAATCTTACCATGTATTTTTTGCCTAGTTTTTCAGAACACATGAGATGAGAAATTACTAACTTACACATATGATATAGGAGATTATCTAAAGTTGATAAGTCCTTAATTTCAAATTAAAAGTATCATCCCACTGGCTGTTTATTTCACTTGTAACTTCTTTCTTCCAGTCAAATAATCTGCCAATGGAACTAGTCATTTTTAACTGTTAACTTAAACTGTTTAGACTTAAAGAATAGACTAAAAATACTTGGTGAGATTTAGTGCATTTTCAGTGTGACTTTCACTGTGACTAACCAGTGACCAGACTGTAATGTCTCCGCTATTTGCTGTTTGCTTTACTGCTAATGCGATCCAGATGGCGCATCAGGAAGTAAACTATCTCTGCGTGATTCATTCACATATTTTTCTCGTCTCATTTAGCGAGACAGATGCAAATCTGTTGCGTCGAATACTTTTGGTGTTTGAAATAAAGGGGATGCTCTTTTTTTCCTTTTAGAGTAAAAAGAAGTTTGAGAGGGAGTGCAGAGAAGCAGAGAAAGCGCAGATCACCTACGACCGGCTCGATAACGACATCAACGCCACCAAGTCAGAGGTGGAGAAGGTAAGCTGCTTCCTCCTGCAGAGCCTTCGCATCATTTACCTCCATTATCCACTAAATCTTTCCTACGTTTTCACTAATTTGTAGTGAAAATGTTGTTTTAGTTTCTTGGTGCTCTTGAAATAAGACAAAACTAATCCACAAATAACTTTTCAGCAACAAATAGTAGTTTCTTTAAGTAAAGAACTCCTTCAGCTAGCAGAAAAGGTACCTGTTCATTTGGCAGATTATTTCACTTACAGCGAGACGTTTTCCCATGTTACAGGTGAAGTCATTTACCTGGTTGCTAGGTAAGGCACAGTGTCTGTCACTTCAGAAATAAGTGAAGTAAAATGGCAGTACTTTGACTAGTCCTTTTTCATCAGTATTAAAAATGTATTGACTGAAACAAGCTCCTATATCTTACTGATGAGTTACTATTAAGTTTTTGTTTTTTTAAGTGTAGTGAGATATTTTCACTGGTAACTCGACCGAAATGCTTGGTAATATTTTGTGTTTTTGCTCTAAAGAGGAAAAAAGGAAATTATTTATTCTTAAGTCGTTACCTTAAAGTGTTATGCATCGTTCCGTCTTCGGAAACATTGTTCGACGTCACAGTTCGGAAATTTTAGCCCACGTTTCTTTGCGACATTGTTTCAATTCAACTGGATTGGAAAGTTTTTAGATTAAACCTCGAGATTTTAATCTGATTTGAAAAAATCCAGATCAGGTATCGATCACAGTGTTCTGTAAGGGCAGGTCTATTCAGTCTAATTCTATGCTTTGTGCTCTGAAATGCTTTATTATTTATTTTACATTATTTAGAATGGCACCTTTTGAATTTTTATGCTTTCGGTTGCTTTTAGTGGATTATCTGTGTGAGTTTCCATTACTATATGACTGACTGTGCAGGCTAAAGCCCAGCTATACATGCGGACTCACATGGCGGATGAGAGTAAAAACGAATATGCAGCTCAGCTCCAGAACTTCAACGGAGAGCAGTGGAAACATTTTAATAACTCCATACCACAAATCTTCAAGGTAAATAAAACAATCGTTCTTACTCACTTTATAATTCCTTTGTTATCATTGTATTTTTTAAGTGTTTATTACTTTTAAAAACCTTTTTGTTGCTCATATTCAGCCTCAGTACACATGAAGAGTGTTTGATTTTTAAATGACAGATAAATTAGATTCCAAAGACGCATTAGATGTATGTGGGTGAATGGATTTATTAAAAGTTTAAACTTGATTTACAAAGTTTGGTTTCATTGGAAGCAAATTAAATTTGGCAACATGAACATAAAATCATGAACATTCAAGATGGAGCAAAACTGAATACAACAGCGTAACCCTGCTTTTATATCCAAAATGTGGGCGGGGCCAAAGGTCTGAGGGGCGGGGCCATGTGTGGGATTTAGTGGGGTTTGCTTAGCAACTTTTCAGACCCTTTTAGCAACATTTTTCCTAAAAAGCAACAAGCAACAAAACTTACTTACTTTGAGCTTTTCCTGCATGTTTGATGAATACTTTAATCATTTTGCAACTGTGCAAAATGACTAAGCCTAGCTCCTCCTTCTATGCCCAGCTCCTCCCCCAGTCAGATCCTTCAGACTAGCCAGCAGCAGTTAGCCAACACCTGCTGAGCTCATTAAATGAGCCACTTCTCAGTGAAACGCTGGTAAACACGTTGCTAGCGGGTTAATAGAGGAGCCATGTTGGGATGACTTCCTTAAGGCGGAGCTTCAAAAAGAGCAGGAGGTTTTAAAGAGACAGAGGCCCAATTTCAAGGAGTTAAATCAGGAAGTAAAATTTCTTTTAAGTCATATTTTATATAAACAGCATTTTTCTGACACCTGATGTTGTGCTGTAAAATGGCACTTTAAATGAAATGTTGAATGCTTGTGATTAGGAACCTGCTTTCTTTCAGATGTTGTGTGTTTGTCTCAGTGTCTCTTTTTATTCATCTTTTCCTCTGTATGCAGAATCTCCAAGGCATGGACGAACGGCGAACGGTAAAACTCGGTGAAACGTATCGAAGCTTCGCGGAGGCCGAGCGAAGAGTCATTCCCATCATCACCAAATGTCTGGATGGGATGGTTTCTGCTGCCAAGGCCGTCGACGAGCGGCGGGTACGAAACTGAAAACATCAACCTTGAAAAAAACAAACCCAAACTATTCCCTCAGTTTCCACTTTTAATCCTCCCAGGACTCGGCTATCGTGGTGGAGTCGTTTAAATCCGGCTTCGAACCACCGGGACACTTTCCGTTTGAGGACTTCAGTCAGAACTTGAGCAGGACGGGTTCGGACGGGACCATCAGCAACGCTCCGAAAGGCGAGAGAGAGCTGGCTCCGGTGCCGCGCTCCGAAGCAAAACACACGATAAGCAGGGGCAAGAATAAACTCTGGCTGTTTGGGAAGAAACCAAAGGTACACCTGACATGCTTTAATTATTCCATTCTGACATCTGTTTCAAAGTGTCTTTGACTTAAAACAGAAACAGTTAATAGAACCATCGTGATTCTAATAATCATGATGGTTTTCTGGTAGCAGTTAATGAAAGTACAATATTTAAAAGTAGAATTTAACATCATGGGACTGTGCAGAAAATAAATTTTGTGCGTTTTTAAAACCGCAATGCTGATCATAGCATACATTTTAATTGTTTCAAAGTCTTCCTTGTCTTAAAATATACATACTGTGATGAAAAAGTTTCTTTCATTCCTTAAGTTCCTAGTAGCTCAAATTAGCATCATACCTAAATTTATACTAATGCAGGTACAAAGTTCAAATTAATAATCACCAACTAATTTCACATATAATTGACAACTAAACCATGTGTTTTGTTTGTTCAATTCTATGTAAATTCAGGGGTTAAATATGTCAGAAAACTGTAAATCTGATCTATTAAATAACAAAACTCGTCTCCCGTCTTTTATGTTTCTGTGTTTGTCACACTATCCAATCTCTGTTTATTTACCGTTTGTTCTCAGTGACTTTCCTTGAGAAAATGTTGCATTTATGTTTTACTTCCACTGTAACCAACTTCCTGTTCAGTTTTGGAGTTATTTTTAAATGATTTTTCCAGTTTTATAGCCATACTTTCCAGTCTGCTGCCGTTTTTGGACCCTGACCCTCTGCTGAAGCACGCCGTTGGTCACTGATCAACCTCCTGCACTTGGTTCATGTTTAACCAACCAGCTGCTTCATGGTATCAGCAATTTGTTTGATAGATGGGGCGTGTGTTTGTGTACATGGAGCAGTTTGCTCAACACTCGCGCCAGCTTTAAGGACAGATTACGATTCTCTGGGATTGAAATTGAAGCTGGGGTTTAGAAATTTGGAAACAGAAAACCAGTCCGGATCTAAACTTTATCTGACTTGAAAATATTTTTAATTTGAAATATATAGTATCTTATCAGCAATCCTGATAAAAGAAATTAGTTAAAAGCTTTAAAATAAATTGTTTGTAGTACAGTAGCCTAATCTCTCACTGAAATACAGTTAGATACCTTTAATTTCTGTTGTTTTGTATGTTATCAGAAACACTGTTTGGACAGTGATGAGGTTAAATAATCACTTTCAAATCAACAGAAATTTATTTATCATTTTATTTTTATTTTCCATATTTTTTTAAGTTGGAGTTTTTAAAAAAAATTCTAATTACGTATCAAGAACTTTTCGGGATTTTGCTATTATTTTGTGAATTATTTAATTTTGTTGTGCAATCAAAACATTGGAGCAACTTTTGAAATATGTTAAATATTAAACTATTTCCAAAACATACCTATAGAAGATAAGTGGGGAAAAGAAAATATCAAGCAGACATATTTTCTGTTTGTCTTTAAATAACTTCTTAATCACGACATCCATCACTTGACATCAGCTAAGGCAAAGGCAGCAGAGGAAATGCTGCCTCCTGCAGGTTGGAGTTAGCATCACATCAGCCCAATGTTTTCACCATTTTTGGAAAAAATTTGCCATAAATTAACAATTATGTTGGAGTGAAAAAATGCAGGGATCTGTTGACTTTGCGTGAATTTCTGTGATCTCAGATTCTCAGAAAAACTGGAGAGACTGCAATGTTGCTCTTTGGGAGCCTTTTCCGCCTTCTGGTTTATAATTTCTCCCTACTTTAACTATAAAATATGACCCAAATTTGAATTGAAATTTTTATGTCCATGTGCGACCCACATCCATGGTGGTCTGATTGAGAATTATTTATTTTCCTAAATCAAAATGTCGTAGCTTTAAGATCAGTAGCTGGGTTTCCATTACAAATATGCCCAAAACTTTGTAGATATTCTACTAGTAAAAAAAAGAATTTTGTAATTGCAGTGCTTCCATTAAATAAATGCAATCAAAATCACATGTGAGTAATTTTGACATGCAGTGGTATCATCCTCCTATCACTTCCTGTCATTTTCTTTGGCATTTCCACCAGTAGTAATGTCCTGTTGTTCATCATGACTCGTTTGTTTTTTTATTGCAGTTTTGCAAAATACACTGATGCAAAAACTTTTAATTGAAAAAGTCTAGATTTCTTCAAAATTGTTGTTTTTATTGATCAAATTTATTTTCAGAATTAAAATTTACGGAATTTTATGGTTAATGAAAACGCAGCTACTGAAGAAACACACTTCATGTTGAGGCATTTCAGACATTTTAACATTTGATAACCAAAACATTGATAACATTTATGTTGTAATTCAGGTGTAGGGAGGAGATTTACCAAAAATGAAGAGCGTAGTGGAACTTTCTGGAGTGTTTCTGTTTTCACTCCCACATATCTAAACAACGGAAGTGAAAGCTAACAGCTGTTTTGTTCTGACTTCCTGTTCAGTCCCCATCCTTTCTTCCTCCTCCGCCACCTTCTTCCTCCCATCATCATCATCATTATCATCATCGGTCCGCCTCCCAATTCTTCCCCACGTTGCGCTTCAGCTCCGACCTTGTAAGCCACTGTCTGTCTGAGGTTAAGACTACAGTTCCCAGAATCCCTCAGAACATAAGAAGTTTGAGGAGAGCGGTGAGACAAGATGTGTCCATGAGTTTTTATTTCTGTTTTCAGTTTTTTCTATCGTTTCTTTTCAGGATGTCTGCAAGAAAAGGTTCCGATTTTCTATAAAACGTCTCAAATGTTTTGACATTTTAAACTGAATTATGATGGTTTAATACGGGGGTGTCCAAAGTGCGGTCAGGGGGCCAGTGGTGGCCCTTGGACTGATTTTGTGTGGCCCAATTAAAAAAATGATACAAATTTGGAGACTTTTAAATTGTAATTTTCTTACAGTGGAAAATGTAAAGCACAACAGAAAGTGTTTTACTTTTTATATGCTGAAATGATGCACTCAATCAGCTTTTATTTAATTTATTAAACTTTACTAACTTTGATAAACGTTTTGAAAGAAAATGAAACAAATCCTGTTCTTATTACTGAAAATAAATTTGTTCAACGGAGCCAAAATGACAAAAATGTCACAAAAGCCAACAGCTTGCAGACATCTTGTTTTTTGTTTGTTTTCCTCTCTTCCTTTTGATTCATTTTGTTGTTCTTGTGTGATTCTTGTCTGGAAGACGGAGGTTTGCTCCGGTCAGAGCCGCGGATCCCTGGTGGTTGACGGTGTGTTGCTGGTTTTTGGGTTGATGTTTGCTGTGTTTTTGGTTCGCTGGTGCATGTGGAGAGGCGATAAACAAACAAACGGACCCACATTTTTTTAAAGATGCTGGTTTGGCTTCAGTCTGCGGTTCTGTTTGTGTGCGCTCACACGTCTGAGAGCTGAGAAAACAGCTTTGAGCCTCAGATGGTTCAACATTAACTGGTGAATGAAATCTGGGACTGGCTGATTTTCATGGCTGCAAAAAATAGTTTTATTCCAATCTGAAAAGCTTTTATTATATTTATCTCAACTAATTAGCAAATAAGTATTTTATAAAGTATATTAATACTTCAGGTAATATAATCTTGAGTATAAAAACCCCCACTGAATTAAAAGAAAAATACATGTTTTATCTGGTTTTATTTAAAGTCAAAGCAAAACAATGATGCACTCTGCTTCTGAAATATAACGTTATTAGATACACAAATATTTCTAACAATGTATTTGCTACAGGTGGAACTTGATTATGATTTTTAATCAAATTAATTACAGGATCTGTCATTATTAATAGCATTATAATCAGAAACTATAAATTAGTGAGAAAATAAGAAACGGTTTCATTTCAAAATGGGTTTTTTTGCTGCTTAATTATTGAACAAACACTAAACATGTCAACAACAAAGATTTATTGTTTTTAATGATCCATGTTAACCTTTTTTACACAAAATCAGAAGTACATAAAAATATGCAAATAAACAAATAATTCAGTTCCTTTATTAAAATAAGAAAATAAATATTTTTAAAATAAGAAAATATTTTTATACCCAAATATTAACAACATTCATGTCATAAACGCTGAAGGAAAGGATGAATCTGCAGCTAGAAAAGCTCAGCCGTCTCTGCTTGGCTTATTACAGCTGATGTATTAATTAATTTTTGGATTAATTGATTATTTAACACAATTTGAATCAAGTGAAGCTAAAACTGGCCCTTGAAATGTTCTGGGTAGAAAATGGCATGTTTTTGACTAGTTAATGATTAACCGATCACTACATTTGTTGACTATTATTTAAATTGATCGATTAATCATTTTTAATCGATTAAGCCCAATTATTATTACTACATCTCTAATTGAATGTTTCTTTTCTTACTTTAACGGTTAATGCTCAGTGGTCGGCCAAGATGGTAAGTCAGTGTGTTGGTGTGTAAAGCAGTAGGAACTCCATTAGCGTCGACACAACGCCAGTAGAGACCCAGCAGTAGGAACTCCATTAGCGTCGACACAACGCCAGTAGAGACCCAGCAGTAGGAACTCCATTAGTGTCGACACAACGCCAGTAGAGACCCAGCAGTAGGAACTCCATTAGTGTCGACACAACGCCAGTAGAGACCCAGCAGTAGGAACTCCATTAGTGTCGACACAACGCCAGTAGAGCTACAGATTCAGTAGCTGCTGCACCTTTTCAGCTAGACTAGTTCCCCTGTGAAACAGACACAGAAAGTGTTTTATGTGTCAAACTAAAACAATAATTTGCAGAAATAAGACTTTATTCACCTATAAAGGAGATTTGCATTATGAAACTTTACTACAAGGGTGTCCAAAGTGCGGCATGGAGGCCATTTGCAACTCCTGGTTTGATTTTGTGTGACACATTATTGAGACAAATTTGGTTTCAAAAACTTTTACCTTTTCTTTCAATTAGGATAAAATGACAGCATACAAACAGAAATCTTCTGACTAAAATGTCAGATACAACACAAAGTATTCATCTGTTACTAACCATTTTCTCTACTTTTCCTTTAATTTGATGTATTGGTCGAGGGTGTCACTATATGAAAGTCTTTTTTTTTCTTGAGACTAAAAGTAGTCCATACAATTTATGGAAAAATAAGTAAATAAATAAAATAAACAAATGATCAAGTAAAAAGTCAGTGAATCAATTTAATCACATAATAAATTACAAGCGCAATAATTTCCACTTGCATCATTTATAATTTTTCTCTTTTCTCTTGATCTCAAAGTGCTGTGCAATTCAACTCCATAAATCAAGATAACATAAAGAACAAAACATAAATGTGTTTAAATGAAAGCATATTTGTATTTAAAACAAAGTTCAACTGTACTTCATAAGTGCTTGATTCAAATGCCAAAGAATAAAAATGGATCACTAACATTTAAGCTTCTTGACAGTCTCAGCACTCCGTACATTTGGCCCATGTTGCAGAAAGTTTGGACACCTCTTTGTTACATTGGCTGTTCTCCTCCTAACTGTCCTGATGGAACAAATTAAAGACATTTTTACGTGTTTTAATTTGTTTTAACCAAACTTCTGAAACTATTAGTGTATTTTAGTGTTACCAAATAAAGCACATTTATGTTTTTTTTTTTTTTAATTTACACTTTAAGTCAACTCGGTTTCTGTATCTGTTTGGCTCAAACTAAACCTTAGATATCGGTATCAGAAGTGAAAAAGTGGATCGGTGTGTTCCTGTGTGCACACACTAACAATGCCTGCAGCGTTTTCTGTGATTTTGTCCTAATTGTGTTTTCAGGTTCCGTCTCTGGAGGATTTCAGCCACTTGCCTCCTGAGCAGAGGAGAAAGCGGTTGCAGCAGAAGATCGACGAACTGAACCGGGAGCTGCAGAAGGAAACGGATCAGAGGTGAGAGGTCGCCGGCCGAGGCGTCAGGAAGAGCTGCGTGTCTGGCTGCTGAACCTGTTTGTTTCTGTCAGGGACGCCTTGAACAAGATGAAGGACGTGTACGAGAAGAACCCGCAGATGGGCGATCCCAACAGCCTGCAGCCCAAAATCTCTGAGACCAACTGCAACATCCAGAAGCTGCGATCAGAAATACACAAAAATGAGGTGTGACGGTTTTTTTCTGGGTGATAAGTTCTCCTAAACAATAGGGATGCACCCATTTACTTCCTGGATGATTTCCTTAATTTTGGAATATTGACGATCGGCCGATGCTTATATGTGCAGCCGGTCTTATCCACCGATCTTATCTTCCTTAGAGCATGTATAAAAATCAGCCTTTGTCCTTCTCTGCTCTGCTCTGAGAGGTTTGACTGGCCCACCAGGTCATGTCTGAACATTTTCACTTATCAACAGTCACCCACTGTTACCAACTCAGTGACTTTCTTTGCTATATTTAGTGACAATATTTCTGATTTCAGACAAAAAGAATAGTAGCGGCAAAAATAAGAAGGCTTTTTAAAAAAATTGGTAATTGGTGATCGGCCTGAAAACTACAATCGGTGCAGACCTCCCCGAAAGTTATTGCAATAAAGAATAATGTTGTTTTGAGACCATTTTCCTGTAACTTGAGAGTAGAAATAATCAAGAACACATTCTCAACAATCAGTAAACTTTAATTTCTAATGAACATTTAACACTGGAACCGGAATACTTTTTACATATCCAAAATAAACAAATCAACAGATGAAATGCATTATGAAGTCTGTATAAACAAAACTGTCCTTCAAAATAAGAGCGAGTTGAGACCAAAACACCAAAATGAAGCTTTTAATCATCCAGTTTTTGGTAGAAAGGGAAAAATAATAAATAATACAAATGAAAATGCCTGAGCTCGTATTAATTTATTGTGTTATTATTGACGTTGTCATCGGCGAACAAACGGATCGTCCTGAATCATTCCTGGTCTTTTCGTGGCTCTCTTTACAGACGTGGCTGTCGGAGGTGGAGGGGAAGCAGAGCTCCAGAGGAGACCGACGACACAGCGCAGACAACCACCATCACACGCCTCACGGCAGGGAGAGGTGACCAGCCGCCACTCTGCCACGGCCAATCGGTCAATTAGTTAAATAATCGTCAACTAATTTAGGAATCAATTAATCGTTAACTGGAGTTTACAAACTCAAAAAAATAGGCAATTTGCTGAAAAACAAGTCAGAGCAGTAATTAATCAAAACTGTACAAAATTGTAATCATTTTTTATTTTAAGATAACAAAAAACCTTTATGTTCTACATCAAAACTCAAAACTGTTTCAGCTTCAATCGGTTCAAAAAATGTTTTATTCAGCACATTTTCTACCCAATTATTGTTGAGTGAATCAGATCAGTCGTATTGATCATTAATGTTTGGAGATTTTTATCCTCCTTTGCTATAAATGATCACATATTAAAATGTTTATTATTTGATAAATTATGTGAATTATTTATTTTTTGCATCTTTTAATGTATTTCTAATACAGTATAAAAAGGTTTAAACTGTTAAATGAAAAATATTTTTTGGTGATTGCTCACTAAACTAGTTGACGATTATTTCAATAATCGATTGATCACAATTAATCTGATTATTTGTTTCAGTCCTATAAACTGGTCAGTATAAAAAGAGCCAATTTACTGCTTTTGATTTAGATTTAGACTTTATTCCTCTTTTCCTCACGTTTAATTTGAAGGATTTGATTTGAGTAGAAATATTTGAATAAATCCATTTAAATTAAAAGTAGATGTTTCTAAATCTTTTTATTGTGTAATTGAATGGAGTCAAGTGTTAAGATGGAGCATTAACAACGTAAATCACAAAGACAAATATTTAAATAAAATATGTTCAGTATTTATAAATGCACACGCAGCTAATTATTAATGCTATTTGTTATCAGAACATTCTGGAACAACCGACCATTTAAGAACATTCATGATCTGCTCTCCTGCTGTTGTTTGTATTTATTTCCCATCAGCCCCGAGGGCAGCTACAACGACGACACCAGCCAGGAGCATCAGACGCCGCATCAGACGCCGCAGCACCGCCCCGCGCAGCCGGCACAACCCAACCACGACCCGCACGAGTTCGACGACGAGTTCGACGACGACGACCCGCTGCCCGTCATCGGCCACTGCAAGGCGCTCTACTCCTTCCACGGTAACTGGTGCAGTGCTTAGCTTCGCCACCAGGGGGCGCGGCCGTTTTCTGAGTAATATGTTATTCAGGAAGCGGATCGGTGGAAGTTTGTAGGTAGTTTAGTGCTTTTTATGTTTATGGTTAAGAAGGATAATGTGTGTATTTTACTATTTCTTCTGTTTGCTCAATCTGCCCTGAATAAGCTATGGCTAAGCTAAGCTAAGTTGCACTTTAAAATGGTGAATTGTGTCATGTTTAGTTGCTCTCTTTTACTTTATTTAACTTTATTAATGAGTGAAAGATAAAACTGGAGTAAGGAGTAAGAAGAATGTTTTATTTTCATTTACCAAATATAGTGTTATGGCTTAGTGTTATGGCTTAGAAGGCAAGTTATTTGAGTAATCTTTTTTTTCAAAACACTCACCAAGTTTGATAAATTAAATAAAAGCTTATTTAGGCACCACAAAGTTTGTTTTTCAGCTTTGCTTTTTCTTTTCAGACTTGGGAGTTTAAATGTTTGAATGTTTAGAAAGCTGTTATTTCTGATGATGTGTTTCTTTGTTTTGTAGGTCAGAATGAGGGGACGCTGACGATGGCAGAGGATGAGGTAATGTTCATCAGTTCTTTGCTTTTTGAAGCAATGGCGCCACCAGGTGGTCGTCTGTTAAACAACACGCATGCCGCTTTTTGGCCCGCCTTCAGAGCATTAAAGTGACTTTTGTCCCTGCAAAAACGCAACATTTATTTCAAGATTTTTTTTATTATTTACAGAAAAACCACACAGCTATGTTTGTTTTTCATTCAGTGGGTCGAAAATCCAGAAATTTTGCTCAAGTAAAGGTAGAGATACTTCATAATAAAATTATTCTAGTAAAAGTAGAAAGTACAGCGTAATAAAAATACTCCTAAATGTACATTTAGTCAAAAACTCAAGTAAAAATAACTATCAAACTCTGGAATAATTGGCTTTATTCCAGTTGGGTTCAAACTGGACGCCTTGTTTACGTTTTACTGCAATGAAACATTGAAAGATTGAATGTTTATTTCTGCCACTTTTCTGCTCACAGCGGCCATGTTGGGTTGTCTGTTGCAGGTGCTGTACATCATCGAAGAGGACAAAGGCGACGGCTGGACGCGGGCGAGGAAGCAGAGCGGCGAGGAAGGCTACATTCCCACTTCCTACGTAGAAATCACCATCGAGAAAAACAGCAAAGGTGCCGTGACGTACATCTGAGGCGCCGCCGCCTCCTGTCTGTCATTGCCTCCATGTTTGCCTTTTAGCGTCAGCTTGACGCCGCGGCATCCAAACGCCGTCCGTCCCCAGGACCGGTGCTGGGAGGGGAAACCGGGACAAACCTGCTGAGCTCAGAATCAATCAGATTATTTTACTCAACTTTATGTAACATATTAGAAACTTTTTATTTAATTTTTTTGGATGAAACAATCAAACTCCATGATTTTAAGCTCTTTTTGTGGGTTTTTTGTGCATTTTTGCACTTTTTTTTTGTTGTTTGTGCCATCCTGTCGGTTTGTCTTCATTAATGCCGTTTTTATGCACAAAAGTTCATTTCATGCAGTTTTTTAAGAAGAAGAAAAAAGTATATTAAGATGACATTTTGTGCTTTTCTTCCTCCAAACAATTCCCACCATAAACTGAGCTGCTTACACCTGCAAAGTTTTAGGAAAATTAATTTTATTTTTAGATTTGCAGAGTTTCTGCAGCTAAAACCAATAACTACAACAATTAACAACATTTAAAAGTTTTAGATACTTTCTCTTGGTGGTTATTAATAATTGAACAAAAGGAGTTTTAGAGTTGGGTTCAGAAAAAAAATAATAAATTCAAAATATTATGAGAATAAAGTTGTAATGACACAACTAGGAAAATGAGGGGAAAAAATTACAAATGAGGATATTACTCCTCAATACTCCATCAAATATTTGTAGAAATTTACTGATCAGAATTTTGTTGCCAATTTCTAAAATCCATTTTTTTGTAAAGGTTTGAAGAATTAAACTGAATCGTGTTTCTTATTAATAATTATAAGACGAGAAGATATGAAAACAGTTTTTCTCTTTCCTGCTGTGAAAAGTTATTATTAGGTTATGTCACAAATTTCACTGAAAAGTTTTGTTACTTTGAATTAACAAATTAGTTGGTTTCTTATTAGCAATTAGCAGAATTACTCAGGATTACATAAGAATATTGTGGGAAACTTTGAGATTCCCAAATCCAGAAAATGTCCCTGCAGAAATGTTTTTAAAAAGTGTTCAGCCTTCCTGTTGTCAAAGTCCTGCTCTCTCTCACTTTCTAGCAGCAAATTGCAGATATTTCTATTCTTATAAATGGAACCTTATTGTTTCCTCTGACTTAATTTGAAACAAATTACACTCAGGTCTTTAAGTTTTCTTCCTTCAGTGACAACTTCCACACTGAAAAGTGGTGTCATCAGCACCATATGTTTATAGATGATGTGTTCGCTGACAGGAAAGGTGTTGGATTTTCTGGCCACCAACTGAAAAACATCAGATTTATGAAATCATTTTCTGGGGAGAAATTTTATTTTTCAAATTCCAAAAACTAGAAAATGTGTGAGAACATTTTTGTTATGTTTTCTTGTTTTTTTTGCACAATTTGTGCATAAAAATTAAATTAACAAACACAAAGATTTAACCTGGTGGTTTGGTGGGATTTGGTGGCAGGAAGAAAAGCATCTTTTAGGATCTACTTTCATGTTTAGTAAGGAGGATATTTGTATGAAGTCTGCAGGATTATTTCAATAATTCAGTTTATTCTGCTGTGTGTTTCTTTTTGGTTCATTCCAAATCCAAGCTTTTATTGTCTGTTTGACGTAAACAAATTAAAATTAAAATATTTGAAAGAAAATGTGGTGCTTTAGTGTTTGACAACCCAGCTGTAGCTGCGTTTCCATTACAAATGTGTGCAAAACTTTGCCAATATTCAGCAAATATTGAAAAAAATTATATATAAATTTTGCGATTGAAATGCTTAAATTAAATAAGAAATGCAATGAAATCCCACAATAACACTTCCTGTTATCGTCGTCTTTGTGTTTTCCGGCAGTAGAAACATCCTGTTGTTGATCATGTGATTCATATGTGAATTGGAATCACATATGCAGTTTTATGAAATACATTAATTTCTGTAAAACCACCTAATTTTAGTGCAAAACCTTTTGTTCAAATAATAATTTTTTTTTTTGGGCTTGTTTCCATTAAGCAAATTTATTTTCGAAATGTCAAATTGTGCATTTATCTGGTCAATGGAAACACAGCTATTGTCGCAGAAAACTTAAGTTTCTATGAACGTTTTTATTTTTTATGTTAAACACAAGTTTCTCTCTGTGTTGAAGTTTTTAAGTGCGTTTCTGTTTATTTTTATAATGGTTTCTCTCCTCTTCGTGGCTGCAGGTTCCTGAGGGCTGCAGAGTGGCCGGGCGATTTGATTGGCTGGTGGAGGGCTCACGCTGATAATGATTGGTGGAGGCTGGGAGGGGCGGGGAGAAGGAGGCCCTGCATGTTTCTGTGTTTTCCATAATCAGCAGAAAGTCAGAGAGGTTTCATTAACGACGCCATCTTTGTTTTCGTTCAGTTGCATCCTGATTCGCTCTCACAGTTCGTCTTTTAACGCATCAGCATGAAATTACGAGACGGGTGATCAAATGGACTGAGTCTCTGTCGAAGCTTTTTTCTCATTAAAACAGCTTTTATTTTGTAATTTTACAACTGGAATTGAGCTGAAAGTGCAGAAACATTTAAAAAAACGAGCTGCGCCACCTTTAAAACATAGAGCAGCGTTTGTACGTTTCTGATCGACCTTTCCTCTGACAGGCCAAAAATAACCAGAGTCTCCTCTGTACAGGAGAAGATCAGGATCACTGAAAGAAATTATTCTGAATTTAATCTCAGAATTCTGAATTTAATGTCAAGATCCTGAGATTAAATTCAGAATGATAATAATTATTTTTGTAGTGGCCCTAATCTTCTTCTGTATATCTGACTATTTAGCAGAGAGCCATGTTGAATCCCAGCAGCGCCCGGACTTTGTTTGAGCCGTCTCGGTCTGTTTGCTAACACCATCAGTGCTGCTGTGCTCCATCTGTCTCCTGTCGTCATCTGTGCTCTGTTGGTGATGTCTGCCTGCCTGCCTGCCTGAGCCACTCTGCTCCTCATGCCTGCCTTCATCCTCACCAAGTCGCATGTTTTTGACGCCATTTTTGATGTTTCCGTTAATCGCCACGTTGTCATGTCCTAATGAAGCATGATTTATTAAATGTTTGTAACTTCTCAGACATCATTAGACAGACAGCAGGACTCAGGTGAAAACCCAACCTTCCTCCTCCTCCTCTTCCTCTCTGTCTTTGCCTTTCCCTTCTCGGATGTCGTTGCTCCAGTCGACCAGCAGGGGGCGGCCTTTCCTTCGCCGGAGCAGCTGGACTTCAGCCTTAGAAAACCTTCATGTTGTTTTTGTCGTTGACAAATTTTTACACACTACATTTCCCATCAGCCACCTGGCTTCAGCTTTCGCCCTCCTGGACTCTCAGCATCAGTTTGTTTGTGAATGTTTCGACACGCGCATCATGTACGGAAAGCCAAGTAGGCCAAAAATCCGTCCGTGTTACATGCGTCATGCTCTTTTTTTTTAATCTGTTGAATTATTTGTACATATAAACATCTGTGTCATGCTGAATGTGTTTCCACGGTGATTGTGTTGTTCCTTGGAGGTTACACGGTTTGAAGAGATGCACTTTGCCCTGAAACAGCGTTTGAACCTGATGAATGAATGAATGAAGTGATTTTTGTTCTTTTGAATAACCACTAGGCAAACAAAAGAAATACTTGTTTTGTACTCTTTTTATTCAAAACACTTTATTTTTGCATGATTTGTTTAGATCTTTGATTCATGACGTCTGAGACACGAATGAAGGCTTCAGGCGTTTGAGGAATAATCTCCAGCCAGCAGCCGGCCGTGATTCTGTTTCTATGACGAAGCTGTGAAATGTGCATTATGACCCTGTAGATGTTCTAACTCCAACCTTCTTATTTTTGTCACTTCACAGCCTCCGTATCTCTAATCAGGGCTTAAATTAGCTTCTCTGTTGCCTTTATGCAAACTTTAACCTTTCTTCAACATTTAAGTAAATCAGCCTGGAAATCATTTTACAATATTCTTCTGACTTTTCGCAGAATGAAGCGAATTACAAATGTCAGTTTCTGCAGCCGGATGGATTAATTTAATGCATATTGTTGCAACTTAAGCAATAACTTTGTGTTTCCTTACTTACTTTGTACACTTAAAGTATGTAACTTGCATTAATTTTTTTATTTTTTTCCATATTTGTTCAAACTGTTATGTTCTGACAGTTTGAGACAGATGATCTGTAAAAACATCAACCTCCTCCCTGAACTGCTACTGCCGTCTGAAGAAATTCACCAAAAACAACCAATCAGAGCCAGGAGGCGGGACGTAGCGCTGTCAATCAACTCATGTACTCGCTGATCAATGTGCTAATGGCAAAGAAACAAGTAGGAGGAAAACTATCAGGAAGAAGCTGTAAGGTAGCAGAGCGTAAGGGCTGTGATTGACAGCAATAAGCCCCACCTCCTGATTCTGATTGGTTGTTCCTAGTTGGCACTGGGAGAAAACAGGAACTCAATTTTTTTTCAGTTTTTCTGTCTCATAAAACTGTCACAACATGTAATAGAATATTTTTCATAAAATTTAAGACACTTCATCTTTTAGCTCAAAGTTTTTCACGCCCCTGTCAAGTTAGCATCTCGATTCATCAAGACATTTGTCTTAAATCATAGGGAAAAAAAGTTTTTAGTTTATATGTATTAAAAAAGTACATTATGCTAAATATTTATGCCCTTGTCAAAAATGAGTGGAAAAAAATGAAACATTGCAGGGTTTTTTTTTAGTAATGATTTCATGAACTTTGGGAGGTCAGCGTTTGCCCCAAACAAAGATGGACGACTTTGAAATTTTGTTGGGATACTTGGCAACTTTTCAGGCAAATTGGTACAAAATCTGAATCATCAGGCCAGAAAACTGCAATCGGTGCATTTCTAGTTTCAACTTCGATTATCTTTAAAGTTGGATGTCCTCCGTATCATCACCCTAATCTTTAGCTCCCTCCACAGACACCGTAGTTAGGACACTAAAACCCACTACTGCCTGCTAGAAGCCTGCAGTGAAACCTGCTCTCCTAAGTCATTTTTAAAACTTTTGTGTTTTAATATCTTATAAAACATTCCTGACCTAAATGTCTTCCAACTGTTCGCAAAACAATTAAGTCCAAAGATTTCCAAGTTTTTGTTGTGTGAAAGAAAAAAAAAAGAAGCAGGAAATATTCTTCATAAAAACCTGAAAGAAGAAAATGTTGTTTTCTTTCTAGTGTTTTTGGAGAAACATTAAATTTTTGTTTCAAAGGTGTAAACTTACAGTAAGTTCTTGTACTGGAAGCCACTGTGATCGTGATCCTGCAATAAACCCGACAAATTCTCTGTCTGGTTCAGTTTTTTCTCCAAAATCCTGTGAAAACTTTGAGACTCGGCATGTTGAGAGATATTTTAGATAGAAAAATAGAAAAACGGGAGGAAATTATCACCAAAATATACAGAAATTTTTAGGTTAATCTCAGAAATTTTCTTGAAATTTTTGGGAAAAATTTAAGTTTCAAAAGTAAAAAAATTGTGTGAAAGAAATGGAAATATCAGAAATTGATAATGAGAGAAAAAAATCTAATTTTGAGATTTATCTCAGAAATTTCAAAGAAAAAGCAAAATTTCTGTGTGAAAAGTTGAAAATTTTGAGAAAATAAAGTGGAAATTTCAGTTTCAAAAGTAAAACATTTCAAATTTTTGAATCTACATTTTCCTTTTTTTTCTCTAAAAATATATATTTAAAATATTTGGTTTATTTTAGCAAATTTGTGACTTCAAATTTAAAAATCTTTTTTCTAGAAAAAATTTGACACGAATGTGAAAATTTCAGTTTTTTTGATTAGCTTTGAAATTTTAGAGAATTTCTAACTTTTTTTAATAACAATTCTGACATTTTGTTTGGGTGAAATTTACTTCCAAGTTTTTGTAACTACGATGGCTCCGATCTGTCGTTCAGAACATTTAAAACTTTTTTCCAGTAATTAAACCCAGAAGCCGCAGAAAAATGTAAATCTGTTCTCCGTATGTTGTAACCATGGCTACACTTCTTGCTCCATATTGTGCACATTTTTTATTTTCCTTGAATGTTGTCGAACATAATTTTCCTTTTCCTTGTTGAAAATGTCGCTCTAATAAAACAAACATAAAACCATGAGAATATTTTGTGTAAAAGCAAAAAAGTTGTCATGCAACAATTCATGGAAACCAGATGCGTTAGATCATAAATCATATTTATTACATTTCCTACATTCATAATATAAACATTAAAATCAACTTTTTTTACAGTCTTAAAATATTTACAGTCTAATAAAATGTTTAAATATGTACAACTTTAATATCACAATGCATTTTAGTGATTTTATTTTTAGTAAATTAAATAAAATCTTCATAGAAACGTGATTTTTTTGTTCAGTTCTGACTTTAAAAAAAAAAAAAATTACCTTTTTTTGGCTCCATACTTTATAAAAACACAGCTGACAGCCATTTCCACTGCGTCGCTACTTCATTTTTATCCACTAACAGTATAGTTGTACACTAAATTTAAAGAAGAAAAACTGAGAAATTAATCTTTTTAATTTTTTGATTCTGTTGATCAACATCAAGTGGATTTCAGATGTTTATCTGCCCATTTATTTGCACAGTCAGGGCTCATATTTTAGCCAAGAGATGAAAATTTCTAATACTTTTTGGGGAATTTTGCAAAAAGAAATGAGTTTACTCGCATCTTAGCTCTGTAAAAGTTGTGTTTTAAATGGGTAATTTAGCAGATTAATGCAAAATAAAGACCCGTCGTGTAATATCGGACCGGTCCTGTCCAGTGTATTCTGCACTTTAACATTTTTATCAAGCAAAGTTTTGAGAAAAGTAAATAAAATCGACAGGAAACGTTGATTTCGACGTGCCAGCACATCATCCACCCTCAGACAGTTTGCATTATATCAACTTAACTTATAATAGAATTAGACATTTAAGATTTAACAATAATTTGGTTTTCTGTTCATTTTTGTGAAATTTCACCTCTTGGTTTATGTCTGATGGTTTTGTTGGTGAGTTAGACGTTATTCTGGCCGTGTGATCCGAGCTTTTCTGCAGAAAATAAACATTCTGTTTCTCAGTGCATTGTCTGTAGCTCTAGTTCTTTCTATGGGGGACTGACCCTGCCAAAATTCATAATAAACACAGAAATAAATACATAAATAGCTTGATAAAGTAATTATTGTGCCAAGTATTGCATAAAAAATAACTTTCCCATTTATTTGATTGGGCACTGTAACATAAGCTAATATTTGTCATTTTCAACAGTAGTAATTTAACATTAGAAGAAAAAATATAACAAGGAAAATAAACTGTGAATATAGAAGGGAAAATGCAAAGATGCAATGTTAAAGGAGAAAATAAATCAAATGTAAGAAAAAATTACAGCAAATTTTAAAATATCTTAAGAAAGAACAAATAAATAATGAAATAAATTAAACTGATAGTACAATAAGATTGAAATTAAGACTGAAAATTATAATTGCTGGTCATAAAGTTTAATTAATATTGTTGAAAATAATAGCACACAATAATAAAATAAGCCAGGAAAGTTTTTATATTTTATATTTTGGATGCAACTTTTGGCAAAATTATTTTATTGAACCATTTATTTACTTCTATATTCATTGCCAATTTTGGCAGGATCACTCTTCCATACGTTTGTGATATGTTCCATAGACTGCATCAGTTTCTATTTTAACCCGTTTAGAACAAATCTTCATAGTTTCAGTATTAATGCAGTATTTCCTCTGAAGACGTTGTGGTAAATATTTAATACTGGATTAAATAAAACTGACCAGATTACTGAACTCACTTTAAACAGACTAACATGTTTTTTTTGTTTTGAGCTGCTTGTGGCTGAAAACATTTGAGGCTTTGCACCGTTTTGAGTCCAAGTCAGTTGGTCATTTAGTCATTTAGTTAGTTAATTAGTTAGTTAGTTAGTTAGTTAGTTGTGTTTTGGTTGCAGGCTCCAGTTTCCTGGACAATGCTGTGAGGATGAGGTTGAACTTGTTGTAGCGATCTGATTGGTTGACGGCTGCTCCGCGGCTCCCCCAAAGCAGCCGCAGCTGGAAGTCTGTTTTAAAAACTTCCAGCAGATCTTCGTCGAACTGAAACCCTGAAGAGACAAAAACAGAAACAAGTCGAAGGAAGTCGGAAAATAAAACGCCTCAAAATTACTTCAAATCTAATAAAATTGGTGTCAAACGTTTGTGTTAGGTTTGTGCCGCAAAAATGTTTTCATTTCTGATGTTATAATTTTAAAGATACTCATAAATGTTTCCGATGTCATAAAACCTTCCACGTTCTTCAAGTCGAACAAATTTGGTGTTAATCAACTTGGCTACGTTTGTACAAAAATGTTCATCGTGCTGCAAAAATGTTCATTGTGCTGCAAAAATGTTAATTGTGCTCCTTTTGCTCTGAAGGTTCTTAAAGTTTGATGGTCAGAAGGTCGACCAGCTCCCCAGTCGTTACCCAAATCTAACAAAATTGGTGTCAAATATTTGCTGTCTGTGCTGCAAAAATGTTAATATGTGCCGCTATCATTTTAAAGAGACTGATAAAAAACAACATCATTTTAATGATATGCTTCCACTGTGCAAACGTTTTTATCAGCATGTTTAAAAGGATTTGTGCTGCACAAAGGTTTGAAGGTGTGTAGGAACCTGACTCAGGTAAATGGAGCTAGGACTTTAACTTTATTTACCTTCCAGGATCTTCTCTGCGTTGGCCGTGTAGCTCTGAGCGTTGTTGGCAACGTCACGCGCCGCCTCCAGGTGGCGCAGCATGATGTCACATCCTTGGTCGCTGGTTTCCCAGAGCTCCACCCCTTCGGGCGAGGTTGACGGTCGCTCCATCAGGGTGAGCAGAGGCAGGAGGAGAGGGATGCAGACCACAGACGGACAGGAGGCTGGAAGAGAAAGTTTAGGTCCTGAAAATGTTCCGTATTCATGTGTGACCCATGATGCTACTGTGAACAGGTTAGGGTAGATCTATGGTGACACAAATGCTTTCATTACATCTTGACACAAAACATGGTGACAATGACTGCAAGTATACAACCGTACATCTTTGAAAAGCAGAAATGGGGCCTCCTGCACAACCAACGAGAATGCAGCACGTAGTTTCTAGATGGTAAGACAAGAAAACTCTTGTCTTTTCCAGCAGCCATTGTACATCAGTAAAACTAGCTGACCAAATGTGCTGGAGCTCAGCGTGAGTCGCTAAGAAACGGAAAGAAGTCCCCTGGGGTTGCAAGGCAGCAGCCCACTGATCAGTAGGCTTGTGAAAAACACTTGAACTTGTTTGCAGAGATTTGGGACTGTTTTTAGGAACAGTAGAAACTCAGATGGAAGAACAAAAACCAGCAAAAAGTTAAAGTGGAGTGACGGATCTCCGTTAAAACTCGTTTTTTCTGCATCAATCAGAGCAGAAAACACTTTTCCAGCAGAGCTTTTCTGGCCTCCTCTTACCTTCTCCTTCATACAGACTCTTGTAGAAAGGTTTGAGGATTTTCTCGTAGCTGATGGCGGTCTGCGTGAAGTTCCTCCGGAGAGCCGTCCAGGTTTCCTCCAGGCGGCTGATCTGCACCAGAAACATCAAACAGCAACTCAGAGGAAATGCTTCGTGTGTCGGCGCCCCCTAGAGTCTCACGCGACCACAGACGGATCGAAGTTTCCTCCAAAAGACTCAGACATTTTGAGATAAATCACAGAAATCTACAAAATCAAGACAATTTGTCATTTCAAAAAGTTAAAACAAAATCTAATTTATCACATTTTAATTTTGACATTAAGTTTAGAAATTTTTGAGTTTCAAAAGTTTGAAATTAGCCGAATAAAGTCGCGTTTTGGTTATCGGCCTGAAACTGGAATGAACTGGATGATGATTTTAAATCATGAATTATTGATGAGCTTTAAGGAAATTTAAAATCCTCACCATGGAAAGCAACATTTTATTTTGTGGCGTCATGCTGTGGTGTTTCTGCTACCTGCTGCATGTCCAGAGCCTTCATGACGGCGGCGAAGGCGAACAGATCGCCCACCGCGTCCTTCAGCTCCACGGCGACCAGGATGATGCGGTTCAGGGTGGACGCCCGCTCCTCCACGCTGCCGGTGCATCCCAGAATATCCACGGCGACGCCTATCGCCATGGTGTGGTGCCTGGGCGACGGATTCGGGTTTGTGATCTGATGCCGACATAAAACCGATAAAACAAGGCGCCGCGGTAGCCGTGGTTACCGTTCCATCAGGTCCAGCCTCAGCCGGCGGCCGTGCGGCAGCGTCACCAGCTCCAGGCCCGAGCCGACGCCCATCCGACCTTTGACCTGAGGAGTCACTCCCAGGATCCGCGCCACCTGAGCAGCAACGACAGTTCATACAGGAAACTCAGTTCTATTTCATCTCAGTGGAAAAACATCGACGTCGAGTTTGTTGGGTAAATTTGACGCCACAAAAACTCACACACCTCACACACACCTTCAGTAGGTGTGTGTGAGGTGTGTGTGTGTGTGTGTGTGAGGTGGGTGAGGTGTGTGTACGAGGTGGGTGAGGTGTGTGTGAGGTGTGTGAGGTGTGTGTGTGTGTGTGAGGTGTGTGAGGTGTGTGTACCTGGCAGTCGGCCTGCAGCAGGTGTGTGGCGATGCTCTGGTGGTCGTGGCTCAGCAGCAGCTCCTTCGCTCTCTTCAGCACCGCCATCTCCAGCGGTTTGTTTTCAGGCGGCAGCAGACGGGATTCGAACTCCGTCGGCCTGAACGCCGACTCCGTCTCCAGAACCGGCCGCAGAAACCCGCGCCTCGCCTTTTCTTCCTCCTCCTCCTCTTCCTCGCTCGTGCTTTCCAAGGCGGCGATGGCGTGGTGGTAGGAGCTTCTGTCGAGCGTTTTCTGGCCCGCCGCCTCGCCGTCGGTTTTCAGCCGCTCCACATAGCTACACGACGTGGGCGGGTTCTGCGACGTCCGGCGGTCCCCGCCCGGTTCCGGTGGGCTGTAGGACCGGAGGTCCGCTGGGCTCGGATGCAGCCGCTCCGTCCTTCCTGATGTCAGCTCCGAGTCCGGACACTGGACAGCTCCAGGAGGAGAAACCACGCAGCTGGACGGACCGCGGGAATCAGAAAGAGGAAAATGTCGAAACTTCTGGGGCTTCACAGGAGGAACCGGCGGAGCTGCAGAGGAAGAAACACGTCCACCTCTGATTTTTATACTTAAATACTGAATAAATGGTCTGAATGTGGGAAAACAGCCAGCTCTCACCTCCACTCCTCCTGGAAGAAGCCGGGTTTTCCCCAGAGCTGCTGGAGGGCGGCTTGAGGGCCAGCCGGGTCAGGGGAACTTTGCTCGGTTTGGGCGGTGGTTTGGGACACAGCTGGCTGTCGGAACCACGGATCGCTTGACCTGCAGCGACATTTAGACTAATATTATTATCTACAAAACACACAACTTAATTTCAAGAGTAAATTTAAATTGACAGCAATATATTAACCCTCACAGGAGACTTTACAGCCTTAAAGTGAATTGATTGTCCTCACATTTGATTCTTTGGTCGATTCGGTTCAGTTTGGGTTTGATATTGCAACATTTGACACATTTTCAAACAGCACTGTGCAAACAGAAAAGCTGTTCCCCTCCTGGCCTGTGGGGGCGCTGCACCCAGAACAACTGAAGCAAACGACACAAAAACCTCTGAAGGAGACACTGAGGCAACGTCCTTCTTCACCAAATGTAAACAAATGACTTATGAGACCACAAGTCATTTGTCCCGCTAGCGTTAGCCTCGTGCGTTTGTTTAGCTTGTTTTTACCCAGAATGCCCTGCGCTGCAGGCCACTTCCTGCTTTTGGAGCGGTTTCTCTTCCACTTGGCTTTTACATATGGATTCAAATCGCACCAGAATCACTTCCAACAGAACCGAAAGCGTGGTTTGTCGGTGCACTAGCGTTAGCTTTATGGGTTGATTCACATTCACACCTACTCAAACTGAACCGGACTTTCTAGGCAAACGGACTGGAGTTGTATTACAGCGAATTCAACGAGGGATGGTGTCAGCAAATCCTTATTCTTGGAACTAGTGAGTTTTGAGTTTTCTTTTGGTTTTCTGCTTTTCAGTTTTAGATCTGTGAGCCGAAGCTTAAACACTGTCATTACTGCATGAAACTAAAACAGTAAAAATATATTTTCTTCATTAAGAGCTCGTATAAAGTTGTCTCGTCACCTGCTAAAGGTTCTGCAGATCTCCGCTGGGCTGACGGGCTGAGGACCGGCTCACTGCCGGTCCGAAACACCGGAGACTTTGGTCCGGGGCAGGTGAGCAGCGGGTCGGCGGACTGCTGGGGCGGCTGTTTGGTTCCTAAGGAGCAAAAAAGATGCCAAAGTTATACAAAATTGGTTTAATAACGCCTCATTTATTGGATTTAACATGAATTTGTTTCATACAGTGTATGCAAAGTGGAGCAAGCTAACTAATGCTTTTCATTTGTTACCCAGAGGCAGGAAGCTTTCGGATTGGTGCGCCTTCAGGGGCCATCGCTTCTCCTGGACCTGATTGAGACTCGCTGGCTGACTGCCGCAGCGATCCGTCACCCTGACAGGAAGAGGAAATAAAACGTTACATGTAAATGTGAGTCAGGACCTTTGGGTTCCATCTGGAGCGGTAGACTGTTGAAAATGAGTTGACTGAGTCTACCTATAAAAAAATAATAGAAAACTATTGAATATTTTACAAAGCAGCTCAAGAAATATAGAGATACTGTTAACATTTAGTTTAGTGTTTTCCTCAATTTGTCCCACGTAAAGTGTAATGAAATATACTTTGCGTGAGAAAGACACATCAAATGTTGTGGTATTTTTGGCCCTTCTGGCATTCCATATATAAGGAGCAGGAAAACCGGAGCAGAGTTCAGAGTTCATCAGAGAAGCGTACATTTGTGCAATTTACACAAAAGGTGAGAGTATTTAGCATCTCACTAGAAAAAGTGAATCGCCTCTGCTACTTAAACGCAGCCGACACTTTAAAACGAAGCAACTTAGTGGAAATAAAACACACCTAATTAAATCCACGGAGGAATTTGGAGGTTTGGTGTCAGATTTGCATGTTTGTGTGAGTTTGTGGTGCGCGGACCTCAGCTGGGCGCCGCGGACGAAGACGTTGTCCTGGCCATGATGGCCGTCGTGGGCGCCGTGCGCGCCGTCGTGACCGTTGGTGATGTTGAGGCTGAGGCGGTTCTGGCTCCGCCTCTCCTGCGCCATCAGCCCCGCCTCCTTGTGGTTGCTCGACAGTCCGTACTTTTCCTCCAGGTAGCGCAGCGGGAACGCTCTGTTGATCGGCTGGAAGATGATGGCACCAACAACCTGAGTGGGGAGGAAGATTTATGCTTTTATTTCCTCTATCAGAACCAGCAGCAGGGATCAATTACGACTTAATTACATGGCCTGTTATCAATTAATCGTATTTTATTCAACAAAATAAGCAAGATCTTCAATTTAAAAACCCCTTTTGCTGCAAAACTATTGAATAAACATTTATGAGCTGAACAAGAAAAATATTTATTGTTTTTATTTAGATTATTCAGCTGTTTCAAGCCTTACAAAGGTGGATGCTAACATTAGCATTCCTGCTACATGTTTAGCATTGAAATGGTATTTCCAGCTTGAGTAGCTCTGCTGCTAAGCTAACTCCTTTGCTTCAAACGGTCCAATCATTTTGATTTTGAAGCAGAAATGAACCCAATGAGCCAAGAAAAGAGTTTTTGTTGTTAGCGGATGTCACTTGTGCGTCAGATTTTAATGCTGTACCAGAAACACATGAATACAAAGGTTCCACTTTCAGACTTTTGTATGTGAAAGAAAACTGGAATTAATTCAGTTGAAATCTGTGTAATTATTAAACACTTCCACATTTATTACATAAATATCAACTGGTCAAGACTGAAGATATGAATTATGAAGAAACAACAACTTGTAGCTTGTTAAGCCGACCTGAGAGACGGGTTTTCTGTTGCCAACGTAGAACCTGATGAGTGCAGGAACGCTGTCGAACCCTTCCTGATCCAGCAGATACTCCACTCTGGAGTACGATTCATTCAGGATCACCATCTGAAACAGGCAAACACAAACAGACTCCTGTTTTTCTGCTTCTCTGATAAATCTGAAGCCGTGAGACTGAAAAACAAAAACGTGAATCTGTAGAGAATAAATGATGAAATAAATGATGAAATACGACTTAAAGCTGGAGAGAAACAAGGAGAGTTTTCTTTCATTAGGAAAATGCTGGAATGATGTTTGAACGTTCACTTAACACAGGGGGTCCAATCTGTGGCCCGGGGGCCATTTGTGGCCCTTGGAACAATTTTGTGTGGCCCCTACTTCAATTCAAGAACGGTACAAACTCACTTTTGTAATTTTTAATCATGAGAATTTAAATCAGTTCTGTAATTAAATTCTAATGTATCCGAAACAAAGTATTTTTCTTTTTATATCAGTGTTTTATTTTGATATTGTGGCCATTAGGGACACAAATATCTAGTGACTACAGAAAAAAAATAAAACACTTTTGTATGCTTTAATTGGGTTGATAAAAGACAAAATATATTTTGAAGAAAGTTCAGATTTTGTCACTGGTAATAAATTAAAAGATTTTCTTGATCAAATAAACTGAATAAAATTGCAGAAAAAGTTAAGACAAAAAACTTTGCTTAAATTAAATATTTTGTATTTAATTTATTGCTGAGCAACAGAAAAAAGGATTAGAGCTGCTTAAAAATAAATAAATTCTGACATCAAACTGAAAATTAGGACTTTTGGTCTCAATGAAATCTGAACTGATTGAAGGAAAAAAATCTGAATTTTGAGAAAAAAGTTAAAAATTACATTTGCCGACTCATTTCCCTGACTGAGCGAATAAAAAGAAGAAAATAATTTAGCGTTTTTAGTTGGAAAGACAAGATGTCTCCTGAGTTTGTCCCAGATTTGGGAATCTGTTGCAAAACGTTTGGACTTAGAACAGTTTGTGGTTTTTTTGTGTGTCTGTTTAATCCTGCAAAGTCAAACAGAAAAAAACCCAAACGATGAAACGGCTTCAAGATCCAGCAGGAGAAACATCCCAGAGCTGCAGTCAGACTGAGTCTCTACCTTCCTGCTGATCTTGAAGTGCTGCGCGGCGTTTCTCCACTGGCAGGTCAGAACGTAACTCCCCGGGCTGGAGAGCGAATCCCGCAGCAGGAAGTCTCCGTCACGCTGCACCAGGCTCTCTGCGACCTGCAGGTTGTGACACAAACACTGGGTCACACGGCGGTGGCTGTTTGCAGGCCAAACATTTCATTAAGTCTGATGATGGAGGTCTGGGTGGCTTCAGGACGCAGCGCCGCTGCCTGCAGGGTCAACCGCCTGCAGGGTCAACCGCCTGCAGGGTCAACCGCCTGCAGGGTCAACTGCCTGCAGGGTCAACTGCCTGCAGGGTCAACGGCCTGCAGGGTCAACCGCCTGCAGGGTCAACCGCCTGCAGGGTCAACTGCCTGCAAGGTCAATTGCCTGCAGGGTCAACTGTCTGCAGGGTCAACTGCCTGCAGGGTCAACGGCCTGCAGGGTCAACCGCCTGGAGGGTCAACCGCCTGCAGGGTCAACCGCCTGCAGGGTCAATGGCCTGCAGGGTCAACTGCCTGCAGGGTCAACTGCCTGCAGGGTCAACTGCCTGCAGGGTCAACCGCCTGCAGGGTCAACCGCCTGCAGGGTCAACTGCCTGCAGGGTCAATGGCCTGCAGGGTCAACTGCCTGCAGGGTCAATGGCCTGCAGGGTCAACTGCCTGCAAGGTCAACTGCCTGCAGGGTCAACTGCCTGCAAGGTCAACTGCCTGCAGGGTCAACTGCCTGCAAGGTCAACTGCCTGCAGGGTCAACGGCCTGCAGGGTCAACCGCCTGGAGGGTCAACCGCCTGCAGGGTCAACCGCCTGCAGGGTCAATGGCCTGCAGGGTCAACTGCCTGCAGGGTCAACTGCCTGCAGGGTCAACGGCCTGCAGGGTCAACCGCCTGCAGGGTCAACCGCCTGCAGGGTCAACTGCCTGCAGGGTCAATGGCCTGCAGGGTCAACTGCCTGCAGGGTCAATGGCCTGCAGGGTCAACTGCCTGCAGGGTCAACTGCCTGCAGGGTCAACTGCCTGCAGGGTCAACTGCCTGCAGGGTCAACTGCCTGCAGGGTCAACTGCCTGCAAGGTCAACTGCCTGCAGGGTCAATGGCCTGCAGGGTCAACTGCCTGCAGGGTCAATGGCCTGCAGGGTCAACTGCCTGCAAGGTCAACTGCCTGCAGGGTCAACTGCCTGCAGGGTCAACTGCCTGCAAGGTCAACTGCCTGCAGGGTCAACTGCCTGCAGGGTCAACTGCCTGCAGGGTCAACCGCCTGCAGGGTCAACTGCCTGCAGGGTCAATGGCCTGCAGGGTCAACTGCCTGCAGGGTCAACTGCCTGCAAGGTCAACCGCCTGCAGGGTCAACCGCCTGCAGGGTCAACCGCCTGCAGGGTCAACCGCCTGCAGGGTCAACCGCCTGCAGGGTCAACTGCCTGCAAGGTCAACTGCCTGCAGGGTCAACCGCCTGCAGGGTCAACCGCCTGCAAGGTCAACTGCCTGCAGGGTCAACCGCCTGCAGGGTCAACTGCCTGCAGGGTCAATGGCCTGCAGGGTCAACTGCCTGCAGGGTCAATGGCCTGCAAGGTCAACTGCCTGCAGGGTCAATGGCCTGCAGGGTCAACTGCCTGCAAGGTCAACTGCCTGCAGGGTCAACTGCCTGCAAGGTCAACTGCCTGCAGGGTCAACTGCCTGCAGGGTCAACTGCCTGCAAGGTCAACTGCCTGCAGGGTCAACTGCCTGCAGGGTCAATGGCCTGCAGGGTCAACTGCCTGCAAGGTCAACTGCCTGCAGGGTCAACTGCCTGCAGGGTCAACTGCCTGCAAGGTCAACAACTGCCTGCAGGGTCAACTGCCTGCAGGGTCAACAGCCTGCAGGGTCAACCGCCTGCAGGGTCAACCGCCTGCAGGGTCAACGGCCTGCAGGGTCAACTGCCTGCAGGTCAACTGCCTGCAAGGTCAACCGCCTGCAAGGTCAACCGCCTGCAGGGTCAACAGCCTGCAGGGTCAACAGCCTGCAGGGTCAACTGCCTGCAGGGTCAACCGCCTGCAGGGTCAACGGCCTGCAGGGTCAACTGCCTGCAGGGTCAACTGCCTGCAAGGTCAACCGCCTGCAAGGTCAACCGCCTGCAGGGTCAACCGCCTGCAGGGTCAACCGCCTGCAGGGTCAACCGCCTGCAGGGTCAACTGCCTGCAAGGTCAACTGCCTGCAGGGTCAACCGCCTGCAGGGTCAACCGCCTGCAAGGTCAACTGCCTGCAGGGTCAAACAGCCTGCAGGGTCAACCGCCTGCAGGGTCAACCGCCTGCAGGGTCAACGGCCTGCAGGGTCAACTGCCTGCAGGGTCAACTGCCTGCAAGGTCAACCGCCTGCAAGGTCAACCGCCTGCAGGGTCAACCGCCTGCAGGGTCAACCGCCTGCAGGGTCAACCGCCTGCAGGGTCAACTGCCTGCAAGGTCAACTGCCTGCAGGGTCAACCGCCTGCAGGGTCAACCGCCTGCAGGGTCAACTGCCTGCAGGGTCAACGGCCTGCAGGGTCAACTGCCTGCAGGGTCAATGGCCTGCAGGGTCAACTGCCTGCAGGGTCAATGGCCTGCAAGGTCAACTGCCTGCAGGGTCAATGGCCTGCAGGGTCAACTGCCTGCAAGGTCAACTGCCTGCAGGGTCAACTGCCTGCAAGGTCAACTGCCTGCAGGGTCAACTGCCTGCAGGGTCAACTGCCTGCAAGGTCAAACTGCCTGCAGGGTCAACTGCCTGCAGGGTCAATGGCCTGCAGGGTCAACTGCCTGCAAGGTCAACTGCCTGCAGGGTCAACTGCCTGCAGGGTCAACTGCCTGCAAGGTCAACCGCCTGCAGGGTCAACTGCCTGCAGGGTCAATGGCCTGCAGGGTCAACTGCCTGCAGGGTCAATGGCCTGCAAGGTCAACTGCCTGCAGGGTCAATGGCCTGCAGGGTCAACTGCCTGCAAGGTCAACTGCCTGCAGGGTCAACTGCCTGCAAGGTCAACTGCCTGCAGGGTCAACTGCCTGCAGGGTCAACTGCCTGCAAGGTCAACTGCCTGCAGGGTCAACTGCCTGCAAGGTCAACTGCCTGCAGGGTCAACTGCCTGCAGGGTCAACAGCCTGCAGGGTCAACCGCCTGCAGGGTCAACCGCCTGCAGGGTCAACCGCCTGCAGGGTCAACTGCCTGCAGGGTCAACTGCCTGCAAGGTCAACCGCCTGCAAGGTCAACCGCCTGCAGGGTCAACAGCCTGCAGGGTCAACAGCCTGCAGGGTCAACCGCCTGCAGGGTCAACCGCCTGCAGGGTCAACTGCCTGCAGGGTCAACCGCCTGCAGGGTCAACCGCCTGCAAGGTCAACCGCCTGCAAGGTCAACCGCCTGCAGGGTCAACCGCCTGCAGGGTCAACCGCCCTGCAGGGTCAACCGCCTGCAGGGTCAACTGCCTGCAAGGTCAACTGCCTGCAAGGTCAACCGCCTGCAGGGTCAACCGCCTGCAGGGTCAACCGCCTGCAGGGTCAACTGCCTGCAAGGTCAACCGCCTGCAGGGTCAACCGCCTGCAGGGTCAACCGCCTGCAAGGTCAACTGCCTGCAGGGTCAATGGCCTGCAAGGTCAACTGCCTGCAAGGTCAACTGCCTCCAATGGTAGTTTCCCTTTAAACTGATGTGTCAGCAAGTTAAACGTTGTTTTTAAACTTTCATTTGTCTGGATGGAAAGACGCCTTTAGCTCTGGCTGGATCCCTCACCTCAGATTCACTTTGTAATTTCTGACTATTATTTTGTATTGATTCCCAATTTTTACAGTGTCAGTGCGTTGAGCTGAGATTTATGACGGGATTAAATGAAATAATTATAACCTGCTTCTGCTCTGAGACAGAGAACGGATAACCAGGGTGGTTTTATGATCATTCAATTGTTCAATGTTATTGAGAAAGTTTTTTTTTTTTTTTTACATTTTATACATGTAGAAATTTTATTTCCATCCAGCCACCAACACTGCAAAAACAATATTTTACCAAGTATTGTTGTTTAGTTTCTCGTGAAAATATCAGTTCAAATAAGACAAAACTAACTTACAACAAACTTTACAGAAACTTATAGAGGCTTTTATTTTAGTCAATAATTCCTCAATATTGATTTAAAAAAAATAAGTATTAGTTTTACTGGCAGATTATTTAACCCCAGCCAAGTCCAGCCCATTGCCTACCAACCCAGGTCTAAAATAATTACTGAGGAGTTGATTAGTTCCAAAAAACTCATATTTATTATCTTCTCTTATTTCTATTTTACTAAATATTTGCAGTAGAAACTGAACCAAATTGCAGGATTTTGTGTTTTTGCAGTGTAAGCTTGTTTTGTCCTGTTTTCTTGCAGCTTTTCACTTTTTCTTTTCCACAGAAACACACAAACCTCCATGCTGAACTCAGGGCTTTAATTAGGCCGCTGTTTGTTCAGAGTGTAATGGTAGTTTAGCCAGAGGAAGCAGCTTATTAAAAGCGATTACATGTGGAGGACACAGCCTCCCTCACAGGCACCCTGGAGGAGAAACCCCTCTGCTCCTGCTGGGCTGCAAACACACCCAGTAATCTGCCTGCAGTCGCAGCGCTGCAGGCTAATGACACCCGGCCCGGTCCAACTGGTTTCCAACTGGACTTTTAAAGGGAGTGGCTGTGTTTTTGTGCTGTACCTGTCTGGGAATGGCGCCGTGGTACCAGGCGTGGCTCCTGGGCTCCTCGCTGCTCATCTTCAGCTCCTCCTCCAGCTCCCGGCGGAGCTTCTCCAGCGAACAGTCCAGGATGAACTGGTCCCTGGAGAACTGGGAGGACAGCAGGAGGAACCGTTCAGGTCCGGATGAAACCCGTTCACAGCTTGATGCTCGCAGACGTTTCACCACTTTGATTTCACCAAAAGAGCTTTTCAACTGAATAATGTTCATCTCTTTGGCTCAAGTTTGTATAAAATTAGTATTTTTGTACATGAAAATCCATTAAAGAGGCTGATTTTTAATGTATTTAAAGTTTGGTTGTTTTTTATTTGGATCCCCATTATCCATTTTTTAAGATTAGAAAAAAGAGAAAAAAATTACAAAACAGTTAAACAGACTGAATAAAACATTAACAGAACAAGTATTTTGATCTCAGGTCTAAATATCTTTTTGCTCCTGCATTAAGAAAAACTCGTCAGAAATAGCAGATTAATTTAAGACAAAAACATTTATGGAAAACTGAAGAACCAGAACAGAAACAAAACCACAGGCTGTAGATGTAGAGTCAGAATAGATTCAGATCGAAACTAGAGATCAGCTTGACCTCTGACCTGAACCTTCAGAGCCACATAAAGATGGTTACAAAGTCAACCTTCATTTCCAGGACAAAAGACGAAGAAACTCTTCCAGTCGCTTCGTGTCAGAGGAGAAACTTCAACCAGAAGAAAATCCAGAAAACTGCAAACCAGCTGAAACACTGACACTTTAAACCCAGAGCTAAAACCGAGTCGCAACTCCAGGGTTTGTTAATAATTACGGTTTTTACAACAGTTTTATTTCAGGGATTTGTTTGCGGCTCCCAATAAACCTGATTACAGTTTTATGATTTTATGACGTGAAGCCCTTTGGTGCTTAAATGATCCTTCATGCGCGTCTCTGTCTCTCATCTGTCATATTAAAATGAAACATAATGAAACAAAATGAGTGAACATTTTGTTTTGGAAGTAAATAAAATTAAATGATTTTGAGAAACAACAAAAAAAGTTACAAATAGACTGATTACTGTTTCTTTCTTAATCATAATTTTTGTTTGAATTTTTATAAATGTGTTATATTGGTAATAAGAGTAGAAATTAATTTAGTCAAACAGCGTTTTAAGGCTGGTAGAAAAAACGTTGATGTTTTGTGATTAATATCAAAAACTCTTCGGAAAGTTTCAAATTCAGAAAGTTTTTTTGTAGAAAATTTCTGATATTAATCTAATCAATTTATTTTCAGTGATAAGAGGATTTGAGTCACTTTGTTTCATATTTATATTTTATATTTAACCAAGTTTAAGAAAGAATAGAAGCTGATTCGGCTTGTCAGGCCGCTGTCTCTGGATAAATTTGGTCTTTTGTTAAACCTTTGCTGTAAAAACATAAATACTTTCAGTTATACTTTGGATTTTCCTCTGTAAGAAAATTATGTTGGTAACAATTTTTATTTATCCTGATTACAAATTAAAAATCCGTATCTCTGAACAAAATTTATATTATTTTTGAATTGTAGTTTGGGGCCACATAGAATCAGTCAAAAGGGCCATAAATGGCCCCCGGGCCTCACTTTGGACACCCAACGCAGGAAGGCAAAAAGTTGCTAACATTTGTTTAATCCAGGGGTGTTCAAAGTGCGGTCCGGGGGCCATTTGTGGACCCCGACTGCAACTCAAGAAGGACTCAAATTTGTTTCTAAAACTTTTTACTGTTAATATTTTAAAATTATTACAGAGACAAACTATTCATCTATTTATATCCCAGATTTACTAATAGGTAGAAGCAGAATAATCCAGAGACGTTCACTGAAATGTTTGGATGGCAGAACGCGACTCGGATTCTCATCCAGGATCTGATCCGTGGATTTGTTGGCCACCAAAACACGTTCCGGTTTTTCTACCTTACAGTAAAACTAGAAACAGAAGGAGAAAATTTCTAACAAGACAAACAACAGACAGACTTACAGAACAGCTGCTGGGTCTCTACAGCGTTCCTCCTTCCTCATCACACACACACACACGTCCACACACACACACACGTCCACACACACACACGTCGACACACACACGTCGACACACACTCTGCTGGCTCAGATACAACTCCACTTGTCTGTCTGCCTCCACCAATGTTTTGTCCCTCCGCCGCTCTGCCTCACCTGGTGCGACGTCATATGACGTCCCCCGCCCACATGGACCCGCCTGCACACACACCTCAACCTGCCGCACATAAACAAAGACGAGTTCAAGTGACGCCAAACGCTCCCAAAGCTTGAAATGGGTGGAGTTTCTCTTTCCCTGTCAGGAAGCTTCTGGATAATCTAAATAAATGAAATGTGGTGAAACAGATGAGAGATAACAGCAGTTTCTCATCCTCAACCAGAAGCTCATGTTTCTCATCCTCAACCAGAAGCTCATGTTTCTCATCCTCAACCAGAAGCTCATGTTTCTCCTGTTCTTCTTTTGCATTAATCTGGATGATTTAATGATCGCAAATCCTCCAGTTTCTGCAAAGGTCACAACAAAAATAAGAAACCGGTTTTTCATCTGCAGCTCTGCTGCCTGTTTAACGCCACGAGTCGACGTCATTCTGGATTTATGAAGTCATGAGCAGAAGGTCGTTGGTGGATGGTGTGCAGGAAGAACGAGGAGGGCAAGGAGAACCGTGAGGAGAACCATGAGGAGAACCGTGAGGAGAACCGTGAGGAGAACCGTGAGGAGAACCGTGAGGAGAACCGTGAGGAGAACCGTGAGGAGAACCGTGAGGAGAACCATGAGGAGAACCGTGAGGAGAACCATGAGGAGAACCGTGAGGAGAACCGTGAGGAGAACCGTGAGGAGAACCGTGAGGAGAACCGTGAGGAGAACCGTGAGGAGAAAGATACTGATGAAAACGCTCCGGTTCCACCTGCAGATTATTTCACTGGTGACAGGAGTTAGAAGTTAGTTGTTAGAAGAGAAATAATCTAGCAGTGGAACTCGAACTTTTTCTCCGATGTTAATAAATTATTCACTTAAAACAAGCTTCTGTATTTTGCTGAAAAGTTTCTTGTAAACAAATTTTTGGTTCTTATTTCAAGTTCACAAAGAAACTCGAGCAAAAATATTTTCCTTTTGGTTCTTTAGATGTTAAAAAAGATCCACATAACTTTATATGTTAGTGCATCTGATGGTGTAATTTTTAAGCATTAAATGCCTTGAGAGACATTTTTGCCAAATTCTTTTTTTACTTTTGCACAGTAATAAGCTGAAGTTGTGCTGCTGTCACTGCAGCCCAACTTTTGCTCCTCGATCTGCATGTGAAGCGTCTCGTTTCTGCAGAGTTTGATCATCAGGAGCCAAACGTTGAGGATTCGCCTCCCTGTCAATTGTTGAAAAGTTTCCTCATGAGGTGATGCAAAAAACAGACATACGAAGAAAAAACTATTTTTGATTACTCAGCGAAACCTTCTCGTTGTGAACGTGAAACAACTTTTAAAAATTTTTTTTATTAAACTTCTGAAAACCTTGAAGGAGTTTGTTTCTGTTAAAGCAGAGAAACATCTAAAGCATGAAGGGCGCCGGCCCTTTAAGGACAGTAATTGGACAATCCTGATCAAAGCTGATGAGACTAAACGACTTCCTGTTTATCTAAAACTTTCTGTGATTAAACCAGGAAGTATTTTAGCTGCAGAGGAATCATCTCTGAACACCAAGATGGAGAGAAACTAGTTACAGTCACTCAGCTACTGGAGAAACGTTTTTGTGCTCTGTCTGTCACCTCTTATGCATTATAAACATATTTGCAGCTTTATTTATTTATTCTCTTTATTAAATAAACGTCACATAGAGACAATGATTCTTGTTGTTTTTTAAAAAATGTGATTTAAATAAAAATAACATCTTGAGCTTTTCCACATCGCCGTCCTTCACTCTGAAGGATCAGAGGTTTTTAGAGGAGGGGTTATCAAACCTTATCCAGCTCACCTTGGATGGTCAGGTGTAAAATGTTTTTTTCTGTCTAAACCTTTAGGGAAATGAAGTGAAACCACCATCTCATGTAATCTCTGCTGGGATATTTTAAGCTTCGATTTGCGAAGCACAGAAAACTGACTGCGTCCCAAGGAGCCAGACGGAGGAGCGTAAAGGGAACAAGTCCTCTGGCTTTTTGGACCGCCAGGAGAAAAGCAGCGCAGATGAAGGACGGGGTGGAAACGAGCTAAAAGAGGAGCAACACAAAGGATGTGATGCTGTGAGTTTCAGCTCTAATTCTGCTTTTATTCAAATATTTTCTATTTGATTCACAAAAACATGATTAAAAAATGACTTTTTTTAGCCTTTAAATACATTTTGTTGTGTATTTAGAGTCTGTAGGAGTGCAGGAAGATCATCTTTATGTCATGTTTGGGTCATTTTTACATTTTTAAATAGTGTTTGCTGCATAACTGCTGAATATTTTTCAGTCTCTCAGCACCTAAATCAGTTTTTATTTCATGTATTGAACTTGGAAAAAATAGCAAAGTTTTTGAAAGGAAATAATCCAAAACCTGTTTTTAAAATTTATTCTAAAGAACCTAAAATAGTTTGAAAACTAGATGCTTTTTTAAAAAAATACACCAAACATGTAAAAAACATTATTATGTTTTGGATCTACAGTAAATAACTTTCCTTTTGCTCACCTGTGCTTCCGGCTCAGAAATGAAAACACAGCTTTTATTTGTTGTTTTTTTTAGGTAGGAACTTCAATAAGTCCCTACTCGTCTCCAGTTCTCCACTTCCTTCCTGCTTATATTCAAGAATGCGGTTTACAGATTTGAAATCGACATTAAAAATTTGCTTTTCTATCCAAACTGTTGAAAATAGCCCAGCAATCACAATTTGACAAATACTTTTGATTCGACAAGTTTGGCCCATGTTTCAAAATATTTGGTCTAAAAGCTGCAGCTAGCACAGCTTGTAAAAGTTATGTCAATATGTGTGTAGCTAGCATAGCCATGCTAGTTAGCATGGCCACCAACAACGACAGTCACAGTTTTCATGTAACTGGAAGATGTTTCCCCTCCATCGGAGCATTTAGCAGCGAGTACATGAGTGTGATTGACAGCGAAAAGACCCGCCTCCTGGCTCTGATTGGTTGTTTTTGATGCATTTTTCTAGATCTGTTCACAGATTTTCTGTCTCATGTTGTCACAACATGACAGTTTCAATAAATATGCAAAAAAACACAAAAAGTTTTTTTATGCAGAATCTTTAAATGTGACAGAAACTTCTCTCCGATAACCTGACCTCATGTTGCAGAATGAAATCAGTTTTCCTTCATTTCTGTTTTAACCACAGGTGTAGCTGACAGAACCGAACCGAACAGAACCTGCTGCACAGACCGTCTCATCTGCATGTCAGCTCCAGCTCATCCCGGCTCTTTGCCTCGTCTGTCCGGATGAAGTGAACATAAATCTGACACTCAGAGCCAGACGGCCACACAGGCGGAGTTTATGGGGGTCGTCTGGTGGCAGCAATAAAAGCGCAGCAGCATTCAGAGCAGCAGCAAAATTTAATGTGGTTTTCAAATGGATTTTGGTTTAATTTAACAAATTTATTCAGTTACAAGAAAAAGGCTTGAGTCACTTTCTTTCAAAAACATTTGCTATATTTAGCCAAATGTAATAAATTAAATATTAAACATGTCTAACAGTTAAGCATGTTTAAATATTAGCCATGTGGCTAACATTAGCTCTGTTTAATGTTTACATATTTAAACTTGAGCCATTTTAAATATTAAACATGGCTAATGCTTCACCATGTTTAATGAATTAAATATGTAATATTTAAAGATATTAGCCATGTTTAACTGTGAAACATGGCTGACATGTTTAGCTAATATGCTAAATCAAAGTTGATTTCAGCAAAAGTTTCTACTTATTATAAAAATTTGGTTCTGAAAAGACAAATACCTTTTATTGTTCAACATTTTCTACTGTAAGCAAATCAAATTGATTATAATTGTGCCCTGATTAACAATTTAAAGTTTGCATCTGCACCAAATTTGCTTAATTTACATTTGGGGGCCACACAAAATCACTCCAACGGCCACAAATGGCCCCCGAGCCGCACTTTGGACCCCTGTTTCAAGTGGACCGGTCAGTTTCCTGTGTCCTGCTATAAACAGCAATCAGAAGGTAAATCTGATCTCACCTTCCCGGTGACGACCGAGTTCCTGTGGTAGAAGCAACACAGAGCCGCTGTCAGAGCCTTCAGGTTGCATCGCTCCGTCATCACAACCGTTTCCAAAGTGCAACCAAACAGACGGCAACGTTTCCGGTTTCTGAGACTGAAAACTCAACTCCAGCCAGCAAACTGCAGAGAAAGCTCCATGACAGAGAGCCTGGCTCTCTCTGCTCCACAGTCCCCTGCAGAGTGAACTCTCGCTGTGCTCCGCTCATCGTTTGCATCACTTTTTCCCCTCCAGGCCCCGCCCCTCCAGGCCACGCCCCCTCCAGGCCACGCCCCCTCCAGGCCACGCCCCATCCAGGCCACGCCCCCTCCAGGCCTCGTGTGCAGGAGAGAAACGAGCGTGTGCTGAGGTTTGCTCCATCGCCTGGGAGTGGCCCGGAGGCGACTTTCCTCATCTCTGGAAAAAACATGGCAGGACAAAAAAAGCTGCACAAAAGTCCCTTCTTTAGTTTCTCTTCATGAAACCCAAAGCGATGCACTGACTGCAGTTTTCTTGACCGATTCCATTTTTTTTGCCTAAAATGTTGCAGTAAGAAAGTCGCTGAGTTGACAACATTTCTTTTTATCGGTCTGTCAATAAAATCTTTCTAATGGAAGAGAAGAAGAAGATGCTTATTAGACCTTTTCTAAGATGATAAGATCGGCTTCACATGCAAATATCGGTTTTTATTGACTTATCGCATGAAGAAGTTTATTAAAAGTTGCAGTATTTAACTTTCATAAAAACATATATATTTGCTTTTTTCCATATTTATTGGCGAACTAGAACCAATCAGAGCCAGAGGGCGGGGCTTAGTGCTGTCAATCACAATCTCATGTGGTGCTGCTTCCTCCCTGCTCTCTGTTATGCTGCAGCTAGCATAGCATGTTGTGAATGCTAAGAGTAGTTAGCAAGGCCACCAATGACAGCGAATAAACAGTTTTTCTGGAAAGCCATTTCTCCACTGTTAGCATTTAGCAGCGACTACATGAGGATGATTGACAGCGCTAGGCCTGGCTCTGATTGGTTGTTTTTTGTCAGGACTGGTGCATTTCTTTAGATGGCGATCAATCAGCAGTCGATCTTTTCACAGATTATCTGTCGCAAAACAGCAACAATTTTAACAAACATGCAAAAATTATTTTTTTAAATAGAAGTTAAATACTGCAACTTTAATGGAAATACTAGAAAAAATGTTTTTTTGCTTTGTTTTTTCACATTAGCAGGAAATAGAAAAAGATTTCCGCATCTTGAAACAGGCCTCCATCTCCTCCCTGAACATGCAAAATGCAGAGAATAAAAAAAGAAAAAACCCCTGAACTTCTCAGCTGCTATTAGATTGAAATAACAGAGACCGTTCTCCTCCTTTAAGAAATGTATTTTAAGATCTTTTAGTTTGGATCTGTCTGTACTCTTTTAGAAAATGACTCAGCTCTTGTGTTTTGAAAATGGCCCAGAAAAGGCTTTTCAAAGTGAGATCAAACATCCCTCTCTGCCTTTCTGCCCTGATGAATAGCTATGACTAAATCACTGCTGAGCAATTACAGCCCCGACTTTCCCACCAGACCGGCTGCGAATGGACGGCGAACGCAGCAGAGGAGGAAATTCAAAACGCAGCGAAACAAGACGACGTTTCTACCGGCAAACACAGAGAGAGGGAGGGAGACACCGGAGCCGGGGGAATATTCCCACTGTAATTACAGCGAGAACTCTCCGACGATACAGGAAGGAAATGCATGTCCAGCATTCTCTGGGACACACACACACACACACACACACACACACACACACACACACACACACACACACACACACACCACTGTTGACCACAGCAGCCCCAAATCACCAGCTAGGCTGAATGTACACCTTAAAATACACATATCCAACGGTCCAGGAATGCATCAGAGGGACGGGAATCAACTCAAAACTTTCTATTTCTATATGTTGGTTGTTTCTGATGAAGGGAACGAAACTCTTTCTGCCTCTAGCTGGAGAAACTGGGACGTTTCTTCCATTCTGTATCATATCATGGAAAAAGAAAGTGCTGTAAATTGTGATGTTACATTAAATTGGAAAACATAATTTGACTTTGGTCATAATTGGTAACAATGAAACTCCAGTGAATTTTTGGGTAGGTGAGAAAACTCTCCCCATGATGATTAGCTAAAACCTGGTTTTAGCTATCAGGTTGTCAACATAACAAGCTGAACCTGAAATTTTATGTATCCTGAGACATAAAAGATAAAAGGATGCAGTGTTAATAGGAGCAGAAGCTAATCTACCACCTGCTGTGTTAGCTTGGCTAATAGCAGCAGAAGCTAATCTACCACCTGCTGTGTTAGCTTGGCTAATAGCAGTGGTAGCTAATTTATCACAGCAGTCACTTTTTAACAATCACAAAACAAACATGAAGCCTGGAAACATAAATCTGTAACGTTCTGTCACAAACAATTGTTTTGTTTTACAGAAAAAGTGAGCAAAATATCACTGCTTTCTATATTTTCTGTCAAAATTTGAGTAGAGAAACAAACAAAAAGCAAAGCAGGAAGTAAAAAATGTTGTGGGAAAGAGTTTGTATCCATTTTTTAAGTTATAAAAGCAGCAAAGTAAAATCAGTAAATACACAATCTTTGATGTGAAGATGCTTCAGGCAGGTAGTTTCTATTCCTGTAAATCCAGACTGCTCTGAGTAATCAAAGCCTTATATCATAATCCAGCATCAGCGGCATGAAGCCGGCGGCGGCGTTCATCAGGCTCCCGGTGAGTCCCTGTAAGCCGACCTCATGCTGACCTCACGCTGACCTCATGCTGACCTCACGCCCTCAGAAATGTCACCGCAGTGACTGGAACAGTTTCATCACTTTTCACTAAAACAGGAAAACAATCCGGAGACATTTCTGATTTTCCAACTCAAAGTAAACAAAACTACGACACACAAACAGGATGTGCTTTTATGTTTATTCCTAAAATATAAGAGGAAAAGACAAAAAATTAAGTATATTTAAATAATTCAACTGGTGCTGATGTAGTTATGGTAAGAAAAGAAATATTGTTTGTTTTGGAGAAGTCACTGTGTTTCAGAAAATATTTTACAAAAGCTATAAAATCTGGACCAGATTATCCATTTATCCATTCACTACAAACTCTTTGAAGAAGAGAATATATTCTGCAATTATTTTATTGTATTTCTGGGAAATATTTTAAAAATGAAGACTGAGAACTAGGAGACAAAATGAAGTCGTACCTTCATTCTGAGCAAAACGACGGGACAAAATCCCCAAAATATCATGTTGCAAATCAAAAATAATTACATTTTAATGCAACAAAAACAAACAAACAAACAAAAACACTTTAGTGAAATGCTAAAATGCTACTTCCATACAAAACTACAAAATTAAATGAGCATTTTAGAAAAATTCAATATAAGGGAAGCTAAGTGTGCTAAATGTTTTCAAAGTTATCAAAAATGCTAAAATTAGCTCCACTTTTAGCGGATTAGCAGAATGTGGCCACAATGGCTTCATGTCTGAACAAACAATCTTTGTGAAATAAAACAAACTGAAACATATTTAATCTTTTCTATGTGAACAGGTTGGAAATATCGCTAACTACAATTTAACGGCTTCTTTTATACAATGTAATAAGAGACGTTATAACTCAGTTATCTGTAGATTTAATTGATCAGCTCTGATCGCCACCAGCTCATTGGTGGAGCTGAATAATAATCACTTTGGTCTCCACTTACAGATTAAAGTCTTGCTCCATCACCAGATTAAAGCAATAAATCCCAGCAGAGGATGTTTGACACCGAGACTGAGGCTGGTAGTACCGCCACACGGCCACCAGACGGCGCTCTACCCCGAACCTTTCAGTGAACCTTAAAACAGAAACTGGAGGATATGGATATTTGTTTGAGCTGCAAACTGAGATCAATAGTAAAGTAGCTGTTCGGTTGCAGATAGTGTGTACATTAGTTTCTCTTTGTGTGCTGCTGCAACGTGAGGCAACACACGCACACACGCACGCACACACACACACACACACACACACAAACACACACACACACACGCGCGCTCGCGCACACACGCACGCACACACACACACACACACTTTCACATGTGCATAGAGAGCATTATTGTTTTCTAAAGCTCTAAAGCTGGAAAGCTGCTTTCAGCTCTGACTGGGAATGAAAGAGAATAAGCAGAAGTGGGAAAAAAGAGACGAATCGTGAAGAAACCAATAAATCAACTTGTCATGAAAGGCCGTTCTGCTTCCCCAGCTGCTCATTACCGGATAAAACAGCAATTTAACTGAGAGTGAACACTGACAATAACCACACAGTGTCGTTTCTTCCTGAGTAGGATCGACTCATTCCAGTGCTTTTTGATGTCTTAATTCACTAAATGACTTTTCTCCCTTCAAACTACTGGAAACCCCCCAAAGTTATCTCAAAATATTCATGCAGAGATTTTTAAAAGTTACAAGCTTCTTTTGCATTCGACTACAGGAAAACGCTAACGAGATAAAAAGCAGGTTTCAGCACATTCAGAAATTCAGCAGTTATATCGCGATAACGATTATTTTAGTAATCGATTATTCTGATGATTAATCGGATGAAAAACTCACACATTATGCAGTTTTCATTTCACCACTTAAACCTTCGTTTTCCAGTGTTAGAAATATATCAAGAGAAAACAAATAATTAAATTTATTTTTTAAATGAAGAAATTAAGATTTTATTGCCTAAAATGGAGAAACTGATATCTGCAGCTAAAAACACATCAATTATCAACATGTGAAAAACTTCAGTTGATCCCACATCATAATCCTGCAAATCTAAAATTATTCCTAAATTTATCCTATTAAATGCAGAGTTCCACTTTCAGTCATAATATTTATAACAGCAGAATTTTAATCACAGGATTTTTAAATCTTAGATGAAACCTGTATATATTTTTGTACAGTTTTGATTCATTTGCTGTTCAGAATGTTTGTTTTTTTCAACAAAATGCTGTTTATGTGAGTTTGTATGATGCAGTTAGCGATTAATCAATTATTAAATTAGTTGACCCTTATTTCAATGATCGATTAATCATGATTAATTGATTCAGTCAAATACTTCAATGCAAATGTTCTCTGAAAAAAGCTTTCCTTGCATTGAAAACCTCCATTCAGAATTGCATGTTGCGTGTTTAGCTGCACCAGACGGCCGTCGGCGGCTCACCTGTCCGCTTTCCAACTACTTTAAAAAAACCAAAAGACCAAAACACACCTGGAGCTGCAGGGCAGAGCTGGCAGCCACGTTTTCACACCCATTATGCATCACAACAGATAGAGCAGCTGGATAAGCAGCCAGCACAAACACCACTGACTCACAGCCCCAGTTTGACCAGTGAGAAGAACTGGGTTTGCTTTTCACACTGTGGTGGAAGCGTCACGCAGCCGAGCCAACAGATGGAGCGAATGATGACGATGGGGAGATGAAGATGGTTCAAGGGTGAGGTGGTTAGACACCGAAGTGTTAAAAATAAAAAAATCATCCAGCAAAGAGAAGAGAAACCATGTGTGCCGCTCGGACAAAGTTTTGATAAAATACTGATGCTGGACAACTATTAGCACGGCTGCACCGATCCACTTTTTACACTTTCGATGCCGATATCTGAGGTTTCAACAACGATCTGATGCAGAAAAACTGCACCAAATCTGCTTAAAATGTTCCTTTTTTTAAACACAGACATACATTTGATAGCTCACTTAAACACACAATCAGCTTCACAAGCTACAAACATTAAAAACAACTTTAATTAGTTCAGTTGGGAGTGGAACAGTCAAAGTAACAGAAACAATAAAACTGAGAAAATCAAAAGGTTCACTTCCTAATATGTAAAAATAAACTACCACAAATGGTTCAGAAAGTACAGTTAGAAATTCTGGATATAACGTAAAATAAATAATAAAGCTCGGAGCACAGATCATAGAACTAGACAGACTAGATCTAAGATCTCAGATTTTAGCTCCAGTCTGCCCACAAACCTCCGACTCGGTTTGGTTGAGGTGAACTCTGGTTCTGCTTGAGTGCATATCTGAATACCAATCGGACCAGACACAGCTCCAAAAGCAGGAAGTGGACTACAGCGCAGGGCATTCTGGGTAAATACAACCAAAACAAAGGTTAGCGCTAGGTTAGCGCTAGGTTAGCACTAGCGAGAGAAATGCCTCATGGATTTTTACCAAAAATGAGAGAGAAATCCCACAATCACAAAAACCATTTTTACATTTGGTGAAGAAGGAAGTTGCCTCACTGTCTTCTGAGGTTTTTGTGTCGTTTCCTTCAGTGGTTCTTGGTGCAGCACCCCCACAGGCCAGGAGGGGAACAGGTTTTTAAAAGCAGTTCAAAATGAAACAAATGTTTCAATTTTGTTCCTAAATCAAATGGAGTGAGAGGAACTGTCAGGCTAAATGCCAACCGGGTCGACGTTCTGTGTTCCAGCATCACAGATATTAGCATGTAGAGTTTATTAAATGCTGCAAATTGAACATGGAACCGGAACTGCATGTTGGTCGACTAAAACCAGAATGAACAAACAATGCAAGTCCAATTTTAAAAAATGTGATTTATTTTGTTTTAGCAACAACAAACAATATTTAACCATAATATTGTAATAAGATTGTTGCTCAAACATGTTTTCCTCCATCTGTGCCATTTATCTGCTGTGAAAATGTGTCTTTTGCTCTTAGATTAAACGGATTTCCTGGACAATAAATAAGGAAAGAAAACAGAAAACCATAAAGAATATCACACGTCTGCCAAATGATGCTGTGCCAACAGAAAGATCACAACAGAGCCATCAGCTGTCTGAGACTCAGGTGATGTGTGTGTGTATGTGTGTGTGTGTGTGTGTGTGTGTGTGTGTGTGTGTGTGTGTGTGTGTGTGTGTGTGTGTGTGTGTGTGTGTGTGTGAGATTGAGTGATTTAGGACCGAATTATCCTGATCGGATATCGGATCAGCGTCTCTGCAGAGGCGATCAGTTTCACACGTCGCGCAGCATGCGACCTGCGATGCATTTAGCTCGTAATTTAATGTCCAACCTGTGGCCTGGGGGCCATTTGTGGTCCTTAAAATGATTTTGCTTGGTCCCTGACCTCAAGCTAAAGAACCGTAAAACCAACCAAATGCACTGTAAAAACACAAAACCTTACCGGCTATTTTAACTTAAAAGTAACTTAAAAGTAACTTTTCAGCAAGAAACAAAAGTTTGTTTTAAGTCAGTAATTCCTTAATATTGATGAAAAAGTCTTAATTCATCTGGCAGATTAATTCATTAATAAAAGTTATTATAATTAATCCACCAGAGGAACCAGTATGTTTCCATCAATATTAAAGAATTATTTACGTAACTTATGGAAGTTCCTTGTTAGTTAGTTTTGTCTGTACTAGAAGCTAAACCAAAACTGTTTGGTAACATTTTGTGTTTTTTAGTGTAGAAAACAACTGATGACAAAAAACATTTCATTTCCTGTTTCGCTTCTTTAAACAGCCAAGAAATCCTTGGATCTTTAATGATAAATATATTTTATATAGAAAAAATTTAAACATTTTTGCATTTTTAAATAAATAAATTTGGTGGTCCTCCAGGAGTTTAAATTATTCACCTAATGGCCAGTGGATCGCTCTACTGAGAGAAATATACATTATAAAATGACAAAGAGCAACAGCTATTAATTCTGATAAATAACTAATATTACAAATTGTTAGAAAAATATTATCTGTCATGCATTTTACATTTTTGATAAAGAGTTCAGCAGTAATTTTATCTGCTTAATTAAATAAAAGTCCTATAAATTGCATAAAAAAGATAAATTTTGTGGTTCTGCTATAATAAATATTATGACTGGAGGTTGAACTCTGCAGCAGGAGGATAAATCTGGGAATAACTTTAGATTTGCCGTGGCAGTATTATGCTGTGGGATGCCACTAGTTGCCAGTGTTTCAGAGCTAAAGTTGGGAGGAATGTGTGTAAAGTTGCCATCAGTTTGTTTTTGTCTGTATTGTTTACTTTGCATAAAAATAAAAATTACAGAATCAAAAAATGTGCCCGCAGTAATCCCTGTTCAACCCACAGGGGGCAGCACTGAGACAGTTTTGCTCCAAATTTCCACTAAAAAGTCACAATTTGAACAGTAAAATAAAGACAGTTCATCTGAAAAACAAATGAACTAATCTGTTCATAAATTTTGGATTTATAAATGGATAATTGATGCAGACATTTCATTTCTGCATCATTTCCCTGTTTTTTCCCTGTTTGTGTGTTTTGTCCTACCTTAACGTAGTCGACAGCAGCATCCAGGGCGGCGACAGGATCCCTGGGAAACACAGACAGAGAGAGAGTCCGGTTCAGAGAAAACATCCCGACCTGTCAGACCCGCAGGCTCACTTCAGGTGACTCTATCTGGTGCTGATGTTGCTCCTTTTACTGCGGCTGATGCCCGAAACGTTTTCACAGCTGTTCTACGAGTCCATGCATGTCCAAACCTGATCAGGAAAACCCAAAACTGCAAAGCTTTTCTGTAAACTTCCAGAGAAAAGAAACCAGAAACCGTCTGGGCTGAAGTGGAGCTTACAGTGGAGTCGGCTCTCTGGTCCGACCTCCTTTCTCTCCTCCCCCACCGGGACACGCATCACAGCCGCACGCCCACGGCTCGGACGCCGCTGGCGCTTCACACAGGGGTCACAGCTCACAAACACACTGCAGCTTCACTGGAGTTTTCATCCACAAACTGCATGAAAAACTAACATTTAGCTGCAGTTTTATCACTTTAAATCACTGCAACAACACAATGTATTAATGGTGGAGCAAATACTGAAATTACTGCTGTCATAATTACAAATTTTATAAAAGTTATGGCCATAAACAATAATATTGTTGTTTTGAGTTTATTTTAAAGTAGTGTAATGCTAATAATAATAATACACATCATCAAAGACCAATAAACTAATAAACATTTAACTGGACGACATTTTAAATATCCAAAATAAAGAAACCAAAACAACATAAACAACAAACAAAATGAACTAAACAAAACTGTTCTAGTTGAGACCAAAACACCAGAATGAAAACTTTCATCATCCAGTGAGAAGAGAGAAAAACAATAAATACATTTTTAATTTATTAATTGATTAAGTGATTCATTGCTTGTTGCGATTGGCTTACATGAAATAAGACAAAACGAACTTACTTCAGCTTATTTTACGTCAACAGCTCTTTAAAGCCGATTCACTGCCAGACTATTTCTTAACTCATAACTAGGGCTGGAAAAATAAATCAATAACAACATATATTGTGATAATCAATATCAGTAGACAATACATCTGATGAAATACTCACTGAACTCCAGAACCGCAAACGAAGGTCTTTAGCTGCTAAACCTCTCAGCTAGCAAAGCAAAGTTGGTGGAATCAACCAACTCACTCATTCTTCGGTTACCTAGCAACTCACTCATTCTTCGGTTACCTAGCAACTCGCTCATTCTTCGGTTACCTAGCAACAACCTGCTGAGTGACCTGCGCAGCAGCAGTTTAAGGTTTTGCTATCAGGTCTTATAAATGCTCAGTGGAGTGAAAACTGTAAATGAAACAGGAAAAGTTTGACCACCAGATGGCAGTGTTAAAACAAAAACCTGATAAATAATTATCAATATCGACAATCAGTGATAGAATCTGATATGAAGCTGGTTGTGGTGAAACATTTTTCCGATGTCAGGAGTGAAATAATCTGCCAGATGAATTACTAGTTTTCCATGAATATTAAGAAGTTATTTCCTTAAAGTAACTTCTGGAAGTTACTTGTGAATTATTTCTCATTTCAAATTTACTGCACTATTTGCAGTAGAAAATAAACTTAAATCTCTTGGTGAGATTTTGAGATTAAAATAACTTCCTGGTGCATTTTGCTCATATTTGTTCTTGACAGTAGAAACATTTCAGCCTGTTTGAACGTATTTGGAGCATTTCTGCAGCTTTCTCTACTGGAGACTTCAAGCGGCTCAGTGAACGTCGTAATCAGCTCAAACTGCGAAGGTTGCTAGTTCAGATCCCCTCGGCTTGGAGGCTGTTCCCACGGGAATATTAGCACAGCTCATTTCTTACCAAACCAGATATGTTTATCTGCCAGCCCCTCTTAGTTTTAAAATAGCTGCACATAATGAGCAGGATTTAGCACAGAGGGGCCCATTCACTGCAGACTGTAGCCGTTTATTCAAGCAGCTTTCAAGATCTGCACCAAGAGATGAGGAAGCTGATCCTGCTGCAGGTCCAGAGACCAGAGCGTGTCCCGACACGCCCTGCAGCATATCAGCAGAAACACAGCGCCGGCCCCTGAGCCCGGGCCGCGCCGGGCTCAGGGGCCGGTTTTGGTGAAATAAACAATATTATTGTGGTTTTGGTGATCGTCTGCCAAAACGTCCTGCAAGATCGCTGGAGGTTGGAAATGCTGATTTTCTTGCAGCAGTTTGCAAAAGCATCCATACACCTCAACACTTTTGTTCAGATTTTGTCACAGTATAACCATAAACAAAGTATTTTATTGGGTTTTTATAAAGCAACATTTGGTTGTGAAGTGGAAGGAAATTAATGTGACGCAAAGTGTGGCTTGGATTTTTATTCAGGTTTCCTGAGTCAATCCTTCCTACAACTACAAATCATCAGAATTGCTGCTGAACTTCTTTAAAGCCACAAAATGTAATTTTTATTTCAAACTTTTTTTATTATTTAAACAGAATCTGTTAAAACTGTCACCAAGTCGTGAAAATATTCCATAAGACAGATAATCAGGAAAAAATGAATTTACTTCCTCCCCGAGGAATTCGCAAAACCAAACCAATCAGAGCCAGGAGGGTCACAGCGCTGTCAATCACCCTTGTGTATGTGCTGCTAAATGTGTTGCTAAAAAGCTCTGTTAGGCTTCCGTTTGAGGTTGTTTCACCCATATTTCAAATCGTTTTCTCCAGGGTTGGAGGATATTTTTAGTTCCGGTTCCTGCAGCCGTCAGCGTTCATTGTGACGCTGTGACACGGCAGGTGTTTTTATCTCAGTAACAGTGAAGCGGTTGCCATAGTTACTTCAGATTGTCGTCTGATTGGTTTGTCACCATTTAAATTCTGACTATTGGATAAAAAATGCCACTTTCTGCAGACTTTTCATTCACCATTTATGCCTTTTTTTGATGTAATATCAGCAATAGTATGGTAATCCCTGATGTTATTGCTATAAACAATAATATTGTTATTTTGAGACCATTTTCAAGTATATAAATAAATGAACTAATTTCTAACATACATTAAAGACCAGAGGTGGGAGACATTTTAAATAAAACAACAGAAACAACAAATAAAATGAATAATAAAGTCTCGATGATTTATTGCTAATTACAGATGTTCTTTATTTCGTGGCGTCGCCGTTTGGGTGCCGCTCTGCTGGACTCCTGTGAGACCCGAAACCCTGACCACATCAACCAGCGTGACTGTCCCGTGGAAATCACCCTGGACAGACAACACCCACTGAAATCCCTGAAATCAATCTTCTCAAATGAGGGAACTTCCCTCCGTTGCCCCCACCGTTAACCCGAGGTGGGTATGAAAAATTATACTCAAGTCAGAGAAGAAACCAAGTCATCCAAAACCAAAATGACAATAAACCAAAGAAGGAACAAAAAAATAATAAAATCAGGCAAAAGAAAATTGTTTCCAAATCAGTTTGTTGAATAAATAATTGATAAAACTTTAACAGAAACTGCAGGTGTGAATCTTCGTTTTTCATTCAGTGGGTAGAAAATCCAGAAATTTTACTGAAGTCAAAGCAGAAATACTTTATGATAAAATTACTGAAGCAGAAATAAAAAAGTACAGTGCAGGAAAACACTTATAACATGTATTTTTCTTAAAAGTCACTCAAGTAATTGTAAGCAGTTAAAAGCCAGGTCTGGGTTTGAAAACATGGGGATATTCATAAGCAGCGCCACAATGAAACCGTTTTTCAGGTGAGTGATTTCCTCTGCAGAAGTTAAACTGTGTGTGAAATGGTTCAGCCAGGACTTTTCAGACTAGACAAACTGACCACTGCTATATCAGTATTTCTTTTTCGTGCTAAAAACAACAAGCGATGCTGAATTTTCTACGACCACAAGAACAATCGGCAGCAGCAGGAAGGAGCGACTGAACGAGCCGAGGCGAGGAAGAGGATGAAAATAAAGAGCAGGGCCTGGCTGCAGCATGAAGAGCTCACCGCAGTCTTTTTCTGGCTGCTGTTGTTCTTTGCCGCTCACCGCACTCAGCTTGACCACAGCTGGATTCAGGCTGGCAACAGCTGCATGCAGTACCCGCAGACGGCCTCTAGGGGTCAGCGGCTTTCCATTACACACATAAACACGACATCCTTCAAATAGGAGGCGGAGAATTTCTCTGAAACTTCATGACCAAGTTTCATTTACTTCACACAAGAAAAGACTTTGAGCCGTGAAAATTCAAGTATCAAACTTTTCCAGCACCAAACACTGCAAATAATAAAATAAAAACAAAAATCTGTTTCAATTCATTATTCTCATTTATTACTGTTATTAATAATGTCTTGTGATTGTATTCTTCAGCAGAGACAAGGTTTTGAAATCTGTCACTATCATAACACAAAATCTATTATTTTTCTCAATTTTCTAATGTAAATATCTTACTGAGTTCATTTGAAATAAGACAAAACCAAAATGCAAACAACATTTAGTTAGTCGTTGTTGGCTTCAGACATGTTGCCGACTTGCGTAAAAGTTGCGTGAAAATCCCAAATCTCTAATTCTACGTTGATCCAGTTTGACTTTAAGTGAACAGAAATTCAGATGTGAAGCTGAAACGATCTGGACGTCAGCTCAGATCTCTCTGTTTGTTCCTCCTGCTGTCCTGGTGGTCTGCCAGCTGCCCGCAGAGGTCAGGAGAAAAACAAACCGACCAATCAGGAGCCGGTGCACCATAAGGTCAGGGGTCACAGGTCAATCAGCAGCAGAGGAATGAAAGTCAAGACTGACGTATGGTTTTAATGGAAAAGCAAACTATGATTTGTTTCTTCAAGCTTTTCTAGACACACAAATATCTGGAGTTAATAGAAATTAACATGTAGAAAGGAAGCAGATGCTAAACCACAGGGGCGGATCTACAGGAGGACACCTGGGGGCCACCACCCCCAAAAATATCATGTCCTTAAAATCATACTTATGAAAACTATATCCTTCATATTAAATATGAATTCAGAAGAAATAGATATAATTATTTCTAATTCACGGTGGGTTGAATGAAACTTTTCTCTGCAGAAGTTTAACCAAAATATATTCAAAACCAATTCAAACTGACCGAGTAGAACAATTACACTTGAGTAAAAGTAACATGCTTTAAAACTAAAAGTACAAAACAGAGATTCAAACATTTGATCATGAAACTTGATTTAATAACTAGAAATGATTCCATCTGATGAGAAACGGAGAGAACTGTGAAAATTCTAGTATTTTAGGCTAAAATTTGGGAAATAACGCAAATAAAAACAATTGTTTCGTTGGGGACGTTCAGAAACTTCACTACCTGTTTAAACTGAGGCTAAAAACAAACCTGTGACTTTTATTAACTGAATAACTGAAACATTGATCAACATATTTAATGCGTATTGATGATTTTAGACAAAATGTGACGTTTATTGCTTGTTTCTGAATGTTGTTCCTGCTGTGAGTCACTCAAAGCTGAACTAAACTGTTTCAAGAACCTGCAGAGGCTGAACTCAACCGATCATTGCTCCGCATGTCAGCAGCGGCTCAAATGGATCCAGCGATGAAGAGAAAGCAGACAAAGAGTTCAGAGCGATCCGTGATCAAACCCGCCACACCCCGAGCGCCGGAGGCCGCGGCGCGCACGGAGCGCACGGAGCCGGCCCGTATCAGATTCAGAGAGCCGTAAACCGACCCGGCTCAGAGAGATGGGCGGCGTGATGAGGGGGATGAGGATCTGAAGGTTAGATAACGCCTCTCACCCCCAGGGCTCCGTTTACAACCCTCTGTATCTCCGTCCGGGTCTGAAGGATCTCCCCCCGTTTTACAGAGTTCACACAATTTTCTAGCATTTTGAAGGGAAGTTTTCAAACTGGAGGTGAAAACAGTTTAAACGAGCAGTTATGATGGATTATGACCAGCTATTCCTTCCACTTTACAATTATTACTGCTTTTATCACATAAAATAACAATGAAATAAAATTTATGAAAGCCTGTTGATGTGATGTGACAAAATATGAACAAGTTAATTTTTAGGTTTTCCAGTCATCCCTTTAAATAGAAAAGAATAAAATAATAGAATATCCTTTATTCATCTTTATGTAAAATTGACAAAAGTAATTCCAAATATAACTGAAGTAAATACATTATTAAAATATGTATTTATTTATGTTATAGATCAATATTTGTTCATCTATAATCTATAAATGAGAGAGCATAGATTTGGGTTTTAGAAATAATGGATCCCAGGTGAAAACATTCTTTGTTTTAATCATCAAATTATGAGACTGAGTAAAACCAGATGAATGATTTTTCAACTTCAATGTGTGTTTTATGGGTTATTTGGACAGAATATTCAACAAAAACCACAACTTGATGCTGAAAATATGAAACTATAAAAATATGTTGGTGCTTGTTCACCTGCAACTCTTTAAGTCGTCGCTGATATTCTGACCCAGCGAAGACGCGGCGGGCTGCAGGACGAGCCCATCAGGCACTGACGCGTTCCCGGAAAGCAACGCCTGCGTCTGATTGGTCTTCAGGTCCCATCTGTGGTTGCTCTGGCTGACGTTGGCTCCGCCTCTCCTGCGACGAGGCAGCGTCCCGTGCAGCGAGACCGACTGGTAGGCTGCAGCGGGAATCTGCTGACCTGCAGGGATGCTGCATGAAAGAAACAAGCAACTGAGATGATAAATTAGAGTTTGAGGGAATAAATGTATGAAGAAAGTGAGGATTACCAGGGGTTGGAGCCGTGGAGATCCATGGGGATGTTGAGTTTTCTGGGGGAGACGCCATGAGCAGAGCCAGGGCCTCCAGAGTGGGCGGAGTCTCCTCCCATAGTGTGATGATGTAGCGACCTGGGCAGACTGGCAAAACGCCCCTCAGCCATCATCCTCAACTCTGGAAAAGGCAGAAAAATTACAAGAAGCATGATTAATGTCAAAAAAACAAGTGAAAACATTCTGGTTGCGCTGGCAGATTATTATCAATCAATTGTATTTATAAAGAACCATTTATATTAAAATGCAGCTCAACGTGCTTCTAACAAGACATTAGAAATGAAATTATCTGCCAGTGGACCAAGTACTTTTTAATAACTATTAAGAAATTACTGACTTAAAACAACCTCCTATTCATCTGTTGCAGAGTGAGACCTCACCGCCATCCGGAGGGCGAGAAGCTGCTCGCTAACGATGACTGGCACTAGCTTTAGCTGTTCACTTAACAACTTAATGCACTAAACCTTAAAAAGTATTTGTGCTGCATAAAAGAAAAAGGAACCAACTGCTACTGATTGTCAACACTACGACAACTAGATAAAGTCAGGAAAAAGTTTTAATAGCAATAGGGAAAAGGAAGTAGCTCAGCTATGCTAACTTGACTATGACAAATGTAAAAGTAGATGTGTTGTGGAATGCTGTGTGTTTCAGTTAAAAAATAAAAAACGGGCGACCAGCACACCAACAGGTCATCAGCAGAGCAGGCGACAGCTAATCGACCGCCACTGTGTTAGCTTAGCTAATAGCAGAGCTAATAGCAGAGCTAATAGCAGCGGTAGCTAATCCACCACAGCGGCCACTTATTCATAATCACAAAATAATCATCAAGCTTGTTAACTGTTACGTACTGAATGTTGCGTTGTTTTTGTGGGGAATGTTTGACTGTTTCTGATCCTGTTACACCAGCAGAGCTGTTGGCAACGGGCCTGCGCGGGAAAACACTCGGTCATCGAGAAACGACGAATACGAAAGAGGTTTGAGTTTTTCTTCCATGGTTTTTCCTTGGCTGTGGCATCAGTAACACCCACATCTCCAGGTTTCATTTAGTTAACAGTTGTTGTAAGTTTTGCTTTAATTCAGATGCACTAAGATACTTGACCTGCAAATTAGCCAAAACTTCCTCTGTGCCATTGTGTTTTTCTGAGTCAACGCACAAAAACAGTGTCGGAGACAACAGTTACCACACCCAGAGACACCAAACTGGGATTATCTGTCAGGCGACCACAATGCCAACCAACAGTCATCATTATCTATCTGTAATTACAAGAACACAAGGCGTTTAAATACTACATGTCACGCCTGAAGGACAGAGTTTATGTTTTAATTATGTGTCCAAACACTCAGCAACATAAATAATTACTATTTTAGTGAATTCAGACTAAATCTAACGGTGATATTTTCTAAATGGAGAAGCCTCTGGAGGTCGGGGTCTCAGCGAGGGTCAAGAGATTTTTGTATTTTTTATTTTCAAAGTTACGTCTTTAAAACACATTTACATTAATGTGAGTAAAAGTTTGATCACTCTGATGCATTTTTTGTCACTATTTATAGTGGGCCATCATATTCTATTAAAAATGTATGCTTAAAATTAAAATGGTAAATACACAGTAACTAACAATTGTTCTAGTAATCAATTATTCTGATGATTAATTGATTAATCAGAGAAAAAGATTTTTCAATTAACCACTTTTTATTGAGTGTTAGAAATACATCAAAATAAGGAAATACCTCGAGTTGTTTTAGGTGAAACATATTTACAGAAAATGTTTTCTTTCCACCTTATATGCAAAATGTTTTTATATTTTAAACAGTTTTGGTTTAATTGATGATTAATCAATTCCAATGATTGATTGGATTAATTGTGTTTAATCAGATGAATCGTTTCAGCCTTAGAGGAGTTTTATGGATTAGGATTAGGATGTGAAGCGCTCCAGCAGGTTTGTGATTACATTAGAAATACTTCACAACCGATTCGTATCCAAATCTGACAGGATGGAAAAATATGAAGCAAACCGCTTCAGCTTCCCTCCCTGCGACTTTATTTTGTGTTGATGAAGTAAGCTGTCATCTGCTGGCCCAAAAACACACAGAGATGAAAAAGACGGATCGATGTGCGCTGCTGGGAAAACACAGGAAAGGTTCTTTCCCCATTTTCCTGCCATGTGAGGATGTATCATCTGCTCTGAATCACTCTGCATGCAGCACTTAGTCACATCATACAAACTAAAATAACAGAAAAACCAGAGCTGGATGTTCTCAGTTCTGATCAAAACCAGCGTGTTTGTATTTATCGTTTATTGTGATAAATTTCTTGTCATGATCTAAATGTTGTCAATAAATTCAATAACATGATGTTTATTGTCAGGATTGTCAGTTTTGTTATTTTCTCCAGTAATTTGTTCATTGAGTGAATCAATAAATTTGAAAGTATTCATTCTGGAAATATTCTCCAGGTGTTAGAAGGCTGACTTTGCAACCGTCTTTATGTGACTCTGCAGATTCAGATCCGAGTCCATCACTACAGATTTCACACTGAAAAAACACAAAATCTTCCCAAGTTGCCTTTAGTTTCTAATGCAAATGTATCAGTTCATTTGAAATAAGAAAACTAACAATAGCAGCTTGTTTAAGTCAATAGATCCTTAAAACTGATGAATGAGTTCTAATTGCATCGGCAGATTATTTCACTTATTATCTTAAAATAATCTGCCAGTGAAACTATTAACTTTTTAATCAACACTAGGGAATTATTTGCATAAAACAAGTTTCTACTTATTGCTGAAAAGTTACTTGTAAATTAGTTTTGTCTAGTTTAAATGCAATAACAGAATTGCACCAGAAACTAGACCAAAAATATTTGGTAACATTTTGTGTCTAATTGGCATCAAGTGAAAACCGATAATATAAAGTTATTTCAGACAATTTACTGGGAGATCATATAAGAACTGAGGAAGAACCGACTTTCACTTTTGCCAAACAGAAGCGTTTTCTTCTTCTTTTTTTTAAATATAAAGTTTTAACTTGCATAGCAAAACTTGAACAAGTGGATAATTTAGTAGGAACTAAAAGTAGCATCATTTATGACAGGCTGGAGTTTAACTGATGATGTTTGATATGGATGAACAGACATGGAACTGGGATTCCTCAGCCAGCTGTGAAACATCTGTATAAAAAACAGTGGGGGGTCTCAGTGTCGTCGGCTCTTGCAGATGAATGTCAATGAAAATGCAAATGCAGCTTTAAGGGAATCAACAGCCGGCCGGGCCGGACCGGACTGCACCGAACTGGACCGGACCGGACCGGACCGCTCAGCGCTGAGCAGAGAGACGTTTATCTGAGGAACGCCGGACCAGGCAGAATGTGGATTCCTGCAGAACGACCACAACACCCATTATACGACCCTGAGGGATTCAGCTCTGTGTGTGTGTGTGTGTGTGTGTGTGTGTGTGTGTGTGTGTGTGTGTGTGTGTGTGTGTGTGTGTGTGTGTGTGTGTGTGTGTGTGTGTGTGTGTGTGTGTGTGTGTGTGTGTGTGTGTGTGTGTGTGTGTGTGATACTGACCATCTGCCAGACACACAACCTCCCCTGTTGTGTGTAAAGAGTCAAATCTCATCCATATAAGTGACAAACTCTTCATTGTTTAGCATAAAGTATTCAGGCAACAGGAAGTTATTTTATATAAAATATGAGAAGAAAATTCCAGGTTGATGGAAACAGAAGAATCCATCAAAAAAATGATGAAAGTCAACAAATTTCTGGAATTACTCTCAAAATTTCTGAGTTTCTTTCTAGTAAATTTTCCACTTTAAAACTGAGGAAAGTTTTTTTTTTCTAGAAAATGTGTTGAAAAATCTCAAAATTTATTGGTGGAAATGTATTTAAACTTTTTCCTTCATGCATATTTTACCTAAATGTCTCTGATGCACTGATGTGTATTTTAAGATGCCTGTTTACTTCTAGTGATGTCAGTCATATTAAGAGAGGTGGGAAATTTGACTCAAATGCTTCATAATAAAATGACTCAAGTAAAAAGTACATCATAGCAAAAGTACTCTATAATTTTTTTTTCCAAAAAACTTACTGAAGTGAATGTAACTCGTCCCTCTCTCTCCCTCTTTATCCGTCTGTCATTTATTTCAGTCAGTCGTATTTCAGACGCTGCTCTCTGTTTCTGACCTCATCTATCTTTCTCTTTCAGTGAAGCGTCAACCAGACGCTTCACTCAACACCAGACAAACTGCAGGGCTGCAGAACCGACCCGACGTTTCATAGTAGAAATTAGAGCAGAGACTTTAATGCGTATATTTAGGGCAAGTAAGTATGAGCTATTTTGGTAAATTATTGGTTTGTTTTATTGTTTCTTTTTGTTTGTAAAGTTGTAAATAAAGTCAATCTGATCAAAGTCAAATTTTGATCATTTCATCATGTTGACAGTTTCAATGTAATTACTGTATTTTCAGGACTATAAGTCGCAGTTTTTTTTCATATTTTGGCCAGGGGTGCGACTTATAACCTGGAAAATACGGTAATCTTTTTTATGCAATGACATTTTTAAACTAAATTTCTCTTAAAACTTGTTAATTTTCCAAAAATAAATTACTATTTAATACCTCCTACATCTCCTGGGCGGCCATCTTGTTTTAGAAACATGCATTTAGTTGAACTTTGAATTCAGGTCAACTCCTGGCCCTAATGCAAAGGTTCCAGCCTTTGTTTCTGGTACGTCCGTAAATCTGACGCAGAGGCGACATCTGCGATCAACAACAAACTGCTGGTGGTTAATTTCTGGTTTATAAAAACGACATGAAGAGACGAAGGAGAAGCTTATTGTTGTGCTAAAAGGAGTTAGCCTGTCAGTGAAACTGTTCAAACCTAAATTAGCATCTTAATGCTAACATACAGCAGCAGCACAGCCGCTAACGCTAATGCTAGCATCCAGACTCCATGTTTCTTTGCACCAATCTGATGGTTTAATAACCTAAATTACAGATTCAAAACAATCAGTATCTCTGCTGTGGAGCTCAGATCGTCTACATTGTATATTCAATAATTTAGCAGCAAAAAAAAAAAGATTTTCTAATTGAAAATGTGTCTAATTTTGTACATAGTTATTGATTAAATGC